TAGAGGCGACGCTATGACGCATGCGTGTAAAAAAAAATATGCGGTTAGAGCGTAAAGATGGAAACGCGAAAACGGCGTTTCGAAATCTTCCCACTCTGAAGGCTGAATAAAAAAAAGATCGTTTACAGACCCCCGAAACGCCAGCTTCGTGTGGATGAGAGGCTGGTTTGGTGAAAAATTTGTGCGTTTAGGCCAGGGTTCGTGTTCGTGTGGGCGGGGCCTTAAGCTGCTTATTCATCTCCTCTTTTTAGCAGGAATCCAAACCTGTTAGATTAAAGCTGGTCATTACTAAATCCTTCTGCCGTTATAGCAGAAGCACCCCAATAAAAAAAAACCAAAAAAAAACGGCTTTGTCTTCAAGTTTTGTCTGGTTTATATAAAATAAATTTTAATAGCTACAACTTTTCCAGCCAGTTTGATACTCAGTGTTCAAACGGTGCCAGATCAAACCTTCATCCTGTGAAGTGCCTTCTGTTCTTTGTCTCTCCATCCAGAAACGTGTACGCTGTGTGGAGGGCCTACTTAGAGGGAACGGTTCAGGTTAGCCAGTCGAGGCTCAACGTTTGTGACAACTACAAGAGTCAGATATCAGAACCGGCCAAAACCGTTAGACTCTACAAGGACCAGCAGCTCAAGAAGGTGAGTTCAGCTGTAGAAATGTGAGTAGATCAGAGTTTAAACATGTGGCTTAAGATCTTCTTTTGGCAACTCATAGGTTTCCTCACTTACTCTTCACAGACCATTGATCAGCTGAGTGGCATTCAAGCAGAACTGCAGGAGTCAGTGAAAGATTTGGCGAAAGCCAAGAAAAAATACTACGACTGCGAGCAGGTTGCACACGCAGTACGAGAGAAGGCCGACATAGAGGCCAGGTAAATTCGCCAGGCATTGCGTCTGTCAGGAGGCATTATGCAAGGCAAAATAAGAATGATGCACATTTCTTTTTTGCCGTGTGAGCTTAGCAGGATTCCTCACTACAAAGCCTACCGAGTAGACGAGCATCTGCTCTAAGAATCCAATATCCAAGGCTTTGCAGTTTCACAATTAGTTCCAGATTTGAACTGAGTGCTGATGAGTGTTGTTTTTCTGCCAGCCCTAGGTAGCAGTAGCTATGGTGACATATTCGCTTTACTGAGTAGCAACCTGTTCTTTATCATTCAGGAGAATGTGAAAGCTGCTGTGCCTTATATGGGGATGCAAAATGAACCATGTGTTTAAAGTCCAAATAATAGTAGGAAATTAGAGTTTCACAATCTAGGTGCAAAGTTAAGAACAGTTTGGTGTAAAATGGAGACCTGACATAGATTATAAAAGTAGAAACACATGCTTCAAGACTGAAATGCTTACTCAGTGATTTATCACCATTGATATACATCATAATGACTGTTTCAGGCAGAAATGGGTTGTTATCGGGCAGTAGACTATTTGGATATGACTGAGTGAAATATACTGATTAAACTGGAGAAAGCTTAAAACGTAAAGCAGCAGGATGAGTTCACTCTAACTTTCATGTCATGTGTCCGTTATTAATGGACAGAATACTACACTGACTTTCTTAAGATAATCCTAGACAGTTTAATAAATATTTGTTGAAATTGGAATCAGATTTTTTTGTATATTTGAATAAAATCGACTCTATTTCCTGTTTTTTTGTTTTGTTTTTTTCAGATCCAAACTTGGTCTTTTTCAATCAAGAATTAGTTTACAGAAGGCAAGCGTGAAGGTAAGAGGGCCTTACAATCAATGTTACCCCCCCTCTGATACAGAGGCGCTATGGTTTCACATCAGAAAATCCTCCTATCGGACTAGGGTTCTCTGTGCCCCCTCACATGAGGAGGATTTTAAAAATGTGACCCCTGGGGTGTATAGAGGGCTAAAACAGACACATTTTAAAAAATGATGAAAGGCATAAATGTGAATGTGCCATGTAAAAAAAAATGCATAGAGAAAAGGGAAATTATAGGTACAATTTATTCATTGAATACATTGTTAAATCGTTTATTCTATAAGTTATAAAATAAAAAAATACAATAATAATATGTTGCCAATCAAAAACACAAAAAAAAATAAATAAATTGTGTCATTAAAAAAAAAATACTTTTGAAAAATTGATATAGTTAATTTCACTCTATATTATACAGTACAATAATGATCTAAATGGTGTTTTTAGGGGTCACTGTGTTGCCAACAGGGCTAAGCAGGCTGTTATTTTGAGGGTCAAAGATTAAAATTTGGTAACCTCCCATCTTTAATATGGTGGTGGACAATAATTTACTATGATTATATATCACAATAAAATTGTATTCAGTAATGATGATATGTCTTAAAACATATTTCCAGAATTGTATTATGGATTAATCTATGATTACAGCATTTTTCACTGACTGATGTTCTGTGTTTGTGTTGCTTTTTTTGTGGAGGAGTGTTATTAACCTTTATATAAATAATTTTGTAAAGGATTCTGGGCACTCTTAGCAGAATTTCTGAACGTTTTATTTATTTTTTTATTGACTCGGTAATTATTTTGACCAAAATTAAGAAATATAGTTTGATAAAGATTTTTACTGGAGCGCTGTACAGAAATGAAAGTGAAGCTCTGTAGAATGAATGATTTTCCTGGTTTTATTTCAGTTGAAAGCTAAGCGAAGTGACTGTAACTCCAAGGCGACGCAAGCCAGGAACGACTACCTGCTAACGCTAGCTGCTGCAAACGCCCATCATGACCGCTACTACCACACAGACTTACTGCACTGCATACAGGTAATTACTGAAACACCAATCACTGACAGATAAAACTCCATTAGATCATTTGTCTAAGTCTTTAGGTCCTTTTAGAAATCATAACAGGTTTGATACACTTACATAGTCTCGTCAGTTTATTTTCCCTTTCTGTGGCTCCTAAAGCTACATTTTATGTAGCTAAGGTTCGCAGCTGTTGGTTATTGTTTGAATTAAAATGTCTTTTTCAGAAATTTGATCAAACACTTTGAGACTGAGAGTTTAAACTTTATTTTACAAGATGGAGCTTAACAAAAGTGAACAAAAAGTTTAACACTTTGTTTAGCAAAGTATTCTGACCTAAGTACTTGGTCATCTGTGACAATGTTTTTTTAAATGTTTAAATGGTAATATAATTAACATATCAGGGTCAATTTCATGAGTTGTGGGAGAAGACAAAACAGTTAAATTAGTTTTTCATACATTCACGTTTCTGTATTGAAAAAAAAAAACCCAAAGGGAGTTTTTTTTAATTTAGGTTCAGGGGCAACATTTCCAGGTTTCAGACAAAGATTGGACGTTTCTATTTGTCAGGAAAGCATCTTAATTGTAAATGTTTCAACTGTCAGACAGCCGTTAAATACGAACCAAATAGTCTGAAGGAAAGAAAATGTCAGTGTGTCTGAAAAAGCGATGATTTAACAATTTTTGGCTCTCCAAAGGGAGCTTTGCATTGAGTCTCCTAGGCTGTTCGGATTTGTAATTCATATGTAGGGAAATATTCTGCAAAATAAGGATTTTTGAGGCCCACTCTTGTCAGATCACTGGTTGATGGTAAAGTTAAGATTTTCTACAGGTGTAAAAAAAATAAAAAGCAAAAATGGAGTCCAGCCAATGGTGACAGTTAGTTTTTAGCGGTATGTTAACAAGTAACTCCCTCTGAGTTATGATAATGATTCAACATTTTTCAATCAGGTAGGCTGGTTGAGTCTCCTACATTTTATTCTATTGATGCTTCAGGGGATTTTTTTTTGCATCACATTTGTTGCAAAAGAAAGCTTATTTTAAGCAAATATCCTCCTTACATGATATGACTCAAGAAATGACTTCTGCTTCCCTCACCCAAACATCTCAGAGGACTTAGTTCTAGTTTTCAATGAATCTTTCGGCCTTGTTGCAGTTTCCCTCGGACATCCTGGCCCTCAGGCACAGACAGTGTGCGCATCTATACTGTGAGGCCTTCCTGAATAATAGATCCTCAGTTCCTTGTGACAGAAGGATGGAACTGCAGGGAAATATGCATGCACACAAATGTGTGCAAGTAAACACATGAGGAGAATAGGGGGACACTGCTTGGAGGAAGCAAGCTGTTCCTGCTTTGTTTCTCCTTTTTCTTTTATGTGTGATGTTTACACAACTTTACAAAAAAAAAACTGTAATTAATCCCTTTCAGAAAAAAATGCCAACGAACTTAAACTGCCTATAAAAAAATCAATAAAACATATTGGAGTTAGTGGCTGTAAAAAAACAGCAAAAACTAGATTTTATGGCTCTGTACTTAAGTTTAATTTGTTGCTAATTTATTTGATCTATGTTTTAAATTTTGTTTTATCACTTTTGGGAGACAGTGTGTCTAGATATGTGGAAAATGTAGATTATTTTAGTTTGAACAAAAATATTTAAGTGCTGAAGTATTTTTTGCAGCTAACTTAAAAGCAATAGAAATAGATCTGCTCTCTTTCACTATTTTCACAATGAGTCAAATTTTAGGTAAATTTATGGGAAGACCTGCATTGTTTTTATTTTTATTTTTTTATTTTTAATTAAATAATTGAATCAAATATCCAGTTGATGAACAGGAAACTGTTCTGGAATCTGGCTGCAGCAATAACACATGAAAGCTGTTGTCCTTGTCAATGCGACAGCTGGACTAGGAGGTCAGGAGCTGCTCCACATCTCCCTCTGCTGGTAGAACCTGGTGGTGAGGGTTCTATTTTACACCTCTGCTTTCCTGTGCTTTGTTTTGGTCAGAGCGATGGAGTCATTCGCCTAAAAACACACGTACAGTCCAACTATCTACGGTACAGGGCTTGGGTTTTTTCTGGAAGCTGACTCACTTAGTTTCAACGCTACCGTAAATGGAAAAAAACAGGAGGGGAGGATGGGATGAAAGAGGAGGAGGGAAATTACCAGACTGATGAGGGAACAAGCAGAATGCCCAACCTTAATGACATAATTTCCTTGTCAAGATGCTATTGTTTTATGAAGCGGTGGTATGTATGTGTGGCAAATAACCAAACATCTTCCTGTCTGGTAGGAGGAAATATTGTGCAAATTGAAATTTGTGTTTCAGGCAGATCGCATAAATGAATATATATGTGTTTTTCTTGGAAGAGAGAAGGGGACTTATGTTTGTTGAGAGAAACTTTTGAGTTTATGTGTGCCTGAATAGTTGAAAGCTGAAGCATGTGAGTTAAAAATCTGCTGTTGAACTCTTTCACCTTCTTCAGCAGTTGTTGGAACTCGATCTCAAAAAGGCATCTCGAAACAAAACTGTTTCACTCGATTTGCTTTTCTCACAGAATAATACTGCTAATGCCTCTTCTTCTCCTTAAGCTTTTCTCTTTCCTTTCCCTTCTGTCCGATGTGTGTGTTTTGCACTGCAGCCTTCTCCTTTTCAGACCTCATTAAAATGTCCTTCTCTCTTTTTGCTTGCCGTCGAGTGTAAACATCTGCGTGGCTCCAGTGTTTTCCCTCTGCCTCAAGCTTTCTCCTCTTTGTTGGTCTCGTCCTTTTTTCTGCTCAAATCTCAAATGCATTTTGTTTACAGACAGCATACAAAACATGGACGTAGACGTACACATGCCTCTGCATCAACAATGAATGTTCCGTATACATGAGACATTTTAAAGAGTGATGAGCTTCCTGCAGGGATAAACGATTAAATGCAGAGATGCAAAGAAATAATTAACTAAACCCTAATGTTTTTTGGCCCCTCATATAAGATATTGTTAAATTATATTAATTATACCCTGTTGTCCTTGCCTTTGTCTGTTATTCAGGCTTTAGATGGGAGAATCTACGAACATGTGAAAGACTACCTGCTGGCTCTGTGTCGCACTGAGCTGGAGGCCTCACAGGCTACCCACAGCACCTTCCAGTTCCTTTTAGAAAAATCCTCCAGGGTGAGTCAGATTACTTTGAAAGTTAACTTGAAGAAAAGAAGATATGAGCATGTAACTGCTTCATGAAAGCTTCTTATCTCTAGAATATATTTACCTGCGGAATTAATGATATTGAGTTTTTATTTGGACTAACATGAGTGGATTTTTATAGTCGTATATAAATCCAAACTAAAAGTCAGATGTTCAGCATGGGCGGCTGGGTTTAAATGTTGTTTTCACATAGAAATATAGACCTCCTGTCCTGTAAAGTTAAAAGCAAATATCAACCGCAGAGGAGAATAAACTGGAAGATGCCTGCAATAAAGTGCTTTAGATACCCAAAAAATTACATATTTTTTGTTTTGTGTCCTGTTTTGCCAATATAGATCTGGGAATAGATGTCCCAGGGCTAGATGATGGCCCAAAAGCTTTGCTTTCACGTGCATTATGACTGTTAAATAAAACAAAACAACAAAAATACACAATACAGAAGATATACAGTAATTACTAGAGTTCTGCTTCCACTGTAGCTGCGGCTTAGTTTTTAGTATTATTGTGTATCTGTGAACACCTGGAACCAAACTCCCAATAAAAATTTTTTATCATCCTCAACAACTTCTCATATTTAAAAACACTTTATTAAGCCCAAAGAGGAAAAAAAGTCCTACCTCCCTTTCTGCTCTGTTTTCCTGGTAGATTTATACCTATTTTTTGTCTGATTTGTCAGATTTTCAGCAGAGTAGATGCATGGGGGATAAAAGCTATCCCGGTTCCTGAAAAACGTTCCTGCAGAGCTTAAATTTATTTTCGTTGTGCAAAAAATGCAAAATAAGGATGCATTATTTTACCGTTTAAATGTTAGCTTATGGAGGCGTTGGCATCGACTTAGTTCCTAGATTTTATTAGGACAACCTTTCTAACCTACAGAGCCAACATGCATTCTTAGTACTCCAAGTAGAAATTTGACTTGTTTACAATAGTTTGTGAAGGACTGACTTAGACTTAGACTGAACTTTATTTATCCTTTGGGATTACTCCTTCAGGGAAATTCTGATTCCAGTAGCTTATATAGAGTGCAAAGAGTTAAAGCAATATGCCATTTAAGATAAAAAAATATGACAGACAATATAAAAAGAGTGTATATAGTACCGAAAAAAAGAAAAGAGTTGTAACGTCCTGGAATATGTTTCCCTTATATATAAAAATATCTGCACACTAGAGAGCTAAGGAAAGACTACATAGTAGTTGACTTGGATTATTGCACTTGCACTGCAGAGACGTACTGACCAAATAAATAAACAGACTACACAGTAGTAAACAACAAAAAACTAAATTTCAAGTATATCTCGTGAATCATAATCTTTACAATTACATAAAGTAAAAACACACAAAAAAACAACACAAGTGTAAATAAATCTATAAGTATACATGTCTGATATTTATTTTTTTAGACGTATAATCCTTTTGTCCTGAACAAGCATCAAATAAATTGAACAGACATGTATTCCACTGATGGGGATGGTCAGAAATGTCCACCTTAGACCGGACGTATTAGTTGTAAAACACTCACCCTGCGTAATGTTGAATGGCTGATCTGCCATAAGGTTTTGCTGTTTCTTCCCTTTCCGTCCTCAGCCTCAGTCGGTCCAGATTACAGCGTAGTTTCTCTTGAACTCACCTGCTAAATGAAAGGATTAATAATCTGCTTGGGTTTCCTCCTCAGATAATCCAGGAGTTCAACCAGCAGTTGTTCATGCAGGAGAACCCCGTGTTTCACAAGGCGCACGACTTCCAGTTTCAGGCCAGCGAATACGACGCGGTGAGAGTCCCTAACCTGCTTTGAAGATGTTTTAATGTCAGCACACATAGACGGTTCTTCCTGTTTGTATAGAAACCAGTTTTCAGGAGGACTGTAACTCTGTATTGTGTTAAGCATATGAATTCCTACTTAGAGTCTGACATGAATCAGCCTCTTCTTTTACCAAACACAGCATGTCTCATATTCTTTTCATTTTTGTCTCTACTCTGATGATTATGTAGAGCTGCATTAATACCAAAGCGGCCGAGCAGCAGCTCCAATCAGTCCCACTTGGGTTTTCTTTGTACAGTGAATTTAAGATGGGAGCTCTCCAGTTAACTGGTGACAGCAGGACAGAAACACGAACCATCTCTCTGTTCTCAGCTTAATATTAAATGATATCATCCACTGGGAGCCGAACTTTTTACTTCTTTCATCTTTTCCATCATTGGAAGCTAAAGATCTTTTAAACTCAACTGGTTGTTAAGATGTTTTAGGAATTTAGTGGAATGATCAGAGAATTTGTGAATAAATCATCTGGATCCGCGCTCCTCTGGGGTCTTGTTAAGTGTTTCATGCTAACAATGAGAAATGTTTCTTTGGATAAAGTTTTTACTTCCTCTGTTGTGCAGTTATAGTATCTATTTCTGTATGAGTCACTTTGCTCTCATGTTTCTCTTCTACTTTCTGTGCCTCTGCTGCCTTCTGCCATTTTACTGACTTCTTGTCAAAACTTTTTCTTCTCTCTTTTGCCAAAGAATTCCTATCCCTTGATCTTTTTCCACATTTTTCAACCACAAATTTAACTGGGTTTTATTCTGTTCATGTTTTATTCTGCTTTCATGGGCCAACAAAAAGTGGTGCACAGTTGAAAGATGCTGGAAAAGAGATTTTGAAATGAACTTTTTAAGAATATGGTTTGAAATCGTCATCCTCCCCTTGATAATTTGATGAAACACCTGCAATAATTAAATTTAATTCCAGTTTTGTCTCTGCCAACTTTAAACGGCTGAAAAGTACATTTATTGCTGATTCTTTTTTTTTTTTTTGCCAAAAGCTCAGTCAGATTGGAGACTTTTTGACTCTTGCTGTAGATCCTTCATTTGAATTTGTTCTAGACTTTGACTTGACCGCTAAAAGACATGAATATGATTCAATCTAAACTCCTCTAAAGTTCCTCTGACTCTATGTTTACGGTAGTTTTCTTGCTGGAAGGTGAATCTTAAGGTCCCTTATTACCTCTAGCAGGTTTTATTCCAAGAATGCCTTTAATTTAGCTCCATTTACAAAGAAAAGCACCACCACAGTGTGACATGGATGGAGCTTTAATGGTCTAAATGTTTTCTTTTTTTTTTTTTTTTTTTTGCAGGACAACGGAAACTTTTTAAATTTTTACTGATAACAGTTTTTCTCTCAGTTTTTCTCTGTGCCCACTTTTCAGTCAAATAAAACCCCAATAACATGTCATAGGGGTTTGTGGTTATAGCATAGCAAAATACTAAAACTTTCAAAGGGTATACAAACTTTAGGAAAGTAGCTGTGTTTGTTGATAACAATGTTCTAACCTCTAACTTCCTCTTCTTCAGCATTTTCTAACCCTTTTCCCTAAACTCTTCTTCTCACATTAACCCCTCCCTGTCTTTGCTTGTGTGCTTTCACTGGCTGCTCTTGCGCTCGTGTGCGGGTTTGCCGATGCCTCCCATCTATGTACGTGCATCTGTGTGGGAGCGCGCTGCAGACTCTGAGCTCGGTGCCGCAGCTGGTGGACATTGAGCCGTCGCCCGTCAGTGCCATGAGAATGACCCTGGCACAGGTAGTTCTAACAGTTAGCATTCCTATGCTCATGCATCACACAAATGATCCACTCGTTCCTGTGTTAATGTTTGCAAGAGCAAGCATTTAAATGAACCTGTCATCATCAACCTAAGGTCTGCTAACAGCAACGTGAGATTTTTGCTCACAACGAAGAAAATGAATTCCTCAATTCTAATCTGACTTTTTTTTTTTTTTTTACCTCCAAGAAAGTTTGGAGGTATTTACAAAAGAGTCAGAACGAAACACAATTTAATAGACAATTTGTTGTTAATGCAGCATTTCTTTAAATTAATTTAAACATTGAGTGTGTTTATTGATTTTGTTTTGAAAGTGCTGATCTGGCTGCTGAAGCTTCTATCTGGGATCTTGATTTTTAGGCTTTATTTTACCCTCAGCTCGACAAGATTTAGTCATTGAGCAGTTTTTGCTGTAAATTATTGAAAGCTCTCCTGGAATAAACATGAAATAATGACTAAATATAATTAATCTGTCTAACATAACCTCGGCAGAAAACTCTTATTTTTACATTTAGTAGATTAATAATGCCATATGGGATTCTTGTTGTTCTATCCTTTATACTATAACCTTATTTGCTGAGGCGTTTAGCATTTGGATTCAGTGTTTGGCGACACTGAATTACATGCATCAATGGAAATGTTGACTTTTAAGTTTGCCATGCACTTAAATAACATTTTCTGATCTATATAAATATTTATCTGCTAATTTCATTTTAATCATCACTTTAACAGACTGTGTTGCATCAGATTTGAAATTGTTGGTTTTTATTATGTATTTGTATTCTTTCTATCCTTCCTCTGGACACCAAAGTCTATTCTGAACCTATCAAAGAAATAACACAGCAGATTGAAATGTCCTGATTCAATTTTTTTATTTCTGATACATACACATATTGCAATTCTGATAATTGACTGACATCAGAATGAATCATACATTCTTTTATGTCTTATATTATAGTGTGGAATAGAAAAGGCTTGATATTACTTAGACAGAGAAGAGTCGTTTACAGCATCAGGTATAAGAACTGATCCATCTTATTCTCTAAAAAGTTAAATAAACTTTAAACAGAAACAGATAGAAGCAAAGTGTTTCTATGAGCTTTCTAACATCGGATTTCTTTTTATACAGAGCGATATAATCCAATATAATCGGACCAATTTCCAATCACTTATCAGAACATCCTTAATTTCAGAATAGCTGCAGGTTTTTCTAAATATTCTCTCATTCATATTAGAAGCAAGAGTCCCAAACCTACTATTGGAACATAAACTTGGCTGCATGTAAGCAATATTTACCATACCCCCTTCATACATTAACTGTATATAGATACACATATGTATCATAATAAATAAATCTAAAATTAAGCAAAAGAATAGTTGCTCAATAAAATCGACTATGATAACTTACTTCTTAAAGAACATAAAGAAGGATGTTTTTGTACACCTAAAGCTCCAACTAAAATGATGCTTCATTCCAGTTTCTTTCAATGTCGAGTTAAAAACCAGTCAGAATAAAAGTGCTCCTTGCTCTGCAGCAGACACTCTGGAGTCTCTGGCCCCATCTGCCTTAAAAGGAATCCATTAAAGCAGCTCTTATACAAATGATGCTGCCCTGACTTAAGCGTGATGCATGTCTTGTTCTTGATGATAAATTATATTTGTCTGGGCAAAGCTACATCTTTACTAGCTGTAGAGAGAGTATTTTTTTTTTTAATAGACTGTGTATTCTGTAAATGTTTCAATTATTATCGCTGCTGCGGGTCCACGACCCAGCGTTATGGTATTTTGGGCGGCTGTTTACCCAAAACGTGATTGGAAACTAAAGTAACACGTGTGTAGGATGAGAGGATGACATAAAACACGACTCAGCACCAATAATCTCCAATGAATGTTTACACTTTTAAACTGAAGCCTGAGTCAGCAGATGCATGTACAACTACTGTGTGAGCCAATGCATTTCTATCTGTTTAACCACTGTTCTTTCTACATGGAAATCCTAATGACTGTTATTATGACAGCTAAGGATTTTATGGAAGGGCAGGATAATAACTTTTTTTTCTTTACTTGTTTTGATGCTAGTTATAGGGTACTCATCAGTAATTAGTTCAGAATGGTAGAGATGTGCAAAAGGCCATTATATAGATTAGTCCTTTTTTTTAAATACAGAATCTACCTGTTACTTATAGAAAATAATTTGATTTGTTTTATTTAGAAGAGTAAAAGAATATATTTTATAGAAATAAACGACACAGTATAAATTCTTAAACTAAATCTGCTTTTTCAAAGGATGATTTTTGCTTTTCAAGACAATTAAAATCAGAGGGACCTTTCAATTATCAATCTAGCTGACATGACAGAAGACTTAGACAGATTTAATTTGTCATTTTGTATACACAATTGTAAACAAAAAGAAATTTCGTTAGGAACAGCTCTCTAGATAATTTCAATTTTTTAAAGTGGACCCTTGAAAAACAGTAAAAAATACATAAAAACAGTAATATAAACTTTATATGAGTTTATATTTACAGTTCTAACATTTCCATTTTCTGTAATAGAAAATATAATGAAAATAGTAAAATGCAATAAAATAACCCATTTTACAAAGAAAGGCAAATTTCTCTTCTTAAAAATGGGAAACACAACAAAGCATGTAATTCACTAGTTCAGGTGCGTGTCCTAAGTCAGGAAGTCCTTTACCCATTTAACAGTGCAAGTGTTTATGTGGTTTAACCAGTTAAACAACAACAATTAGATAGATTTAAACACATAAATACTGTTTTAATCTAAATCGATTTTTAAAATATCAAACATTTTTAGTTTATGGTTTAAAAATAACATTAAAATTGTAAAACTGTGACAAACAAGGCTGGATCTAAATTGTGCTAAGAGGGATGATATGGAAGTAAAAAAAAAAAAAAGCTGAAGCAGAAATAATGAGTTTTGTCCTGCAACTGTAACAAAAATACATCGAGATGGTTTCTCTGTTTTTTTTTTACAGTGGATGTTTTTGTACATTTTTGTTTGCTCTTCCTTGTTAATCCTTTATCAAGCAGAAACCTCACTACAGTATGCTACCTCACCTAAGTTATTTTTAAACTGGCATAAAATGAGGTGTTACTTAAACGTTTTCTGCATCAGTATAAAGTGTGTTTTTAGTGAGCTTTACAGAACAGGTCCAAACATTTTAGCACTCTGGCAAGTAACAAATGGGCTGATTCTCTTCCTGTGGCATTGTATCTCACAGCCACTGTTCTAATCTAGAGATCTGCTTCGCTCCCTTAACTCCCCGCGAATCTCCAGCGCCCAAATGTAATTAAGCTGTAAATCTCCTGTGTAATACTTTCAGCTTCACACCTATACTTAGCGGGATTAATGTCCCAGTGTTACTGAATCAGCACTTAATTAATAAGTACAACTGGCATGAAAAGATGCAGTTAAAATATTCACTTGATGAATGTTTCTTATTAGGTTATGGGAACCCTATTTTATCTGGTTTATGGACACATCAGCAATATATCTCTGCATCCTTTGGCTCATTTCGGCTTGCTTTTAATTCTTTTTTTTTTTGTCTCAAAACTAATTCAATACTTTTTATTCTTGTTTTCCAGTTTTAATAGTACATTCATAAAAGTAAGAAGCACTTACTGTAGTTTTACTGATTTTTCCGGTATGTGATGAAGCCATATTAACTGTAGCTAGGCGCACAGATTTGAACATTTTGTTTGTTTAAACAGATCAAAGCTGCACTTAAACAGAACCGGACTGTTTCTGTTCACCTCCTGCTCTGTTTCTTTGTTGTTCATGCATGCAAACACACACTCTTGCATTTTTTTTAAACACTGCCTTTTGAGTTTTAATAGCAGTTATTTTGATCTGCAGGGATAACAGCCCTGCTTTGGAACACATGCTGTATTAATTATTCGAGAAGGAAACATTCGCTCTCACATTTTCTTCAGTTTAATTAACAGCCTCCACATACTGCAGTCACATGTCTTTAGTATCTGCAGAGCAAAACACGGAATCAGAACCTGTTGACATTTCTGCTTAAATATTAAGATGTTCCAGCCTTTTTTATGGATTTTATGTTTCAAGTAATAGACTAAGCAAAGACTAACAAGTTTTGTCGGTTGCATAATTGTAAAGAGGTGGATAAAAGTGTGGTTTGCATATTTCCTCTGATTCCCCAAACCTTTAGCTTTATGCCTCTATTCCAGGAAATTTAAGTTTTTTTTGTTTCCATAATGTTTAGAGCCCAAGCTGAGTGTACAGCTGTTATTAACTCTTTCCACAGACTCCTTATTAGACTTTATATGTGGACTTTGACTAGGCCATTCTGACACATGAAACATTAAAACATCTAAAGGACTGGCTTATCTTTAAGTCTGATATTTGATGATTCTCCCAGGATCTCTAACATTGACTTTAGAACTGAACTGCAGATAATGATCATTTTACCGATCGATTAATCTGTCCATTATTATTTTCGATTAATTGATTAATAACAGGATAGAAAAAGGTTCCTGAAATAAGTTTTTTTTACAGAATTAAACCTGGTGAAACTAAAACTTTTCCACTTGAAAAGGTATGGATTGAACATAACGACGGATGAAATGCAGAATATTCTATTTTTTTCTTCAAAAGTTTGGTATAATTACTGCTCTAACATGTTTTAGAGTCTCTATACTCCAGTTTGACTATTAATCAATTACTAAAATTGTTGACAATTTTTTAATTAATCTGATTAATTGCTTCGCTCCTAACTGACTTTGCACTGGATACATGTTTGTTTATCTCTACACATGTTTGTTTGTATGGTTGTTTGCATCAGAGCCGCCAGCTGGAGTCCGAGTCGGGAACGACGGAGGAGCACAGTCTGAATAAAGAGGCCAGAAAATGGGCAACCAGAGTGGCCAGAGAGCACAAGAATATCATTCACTGCAAGCGAGTAAGGGCACAACATGTAAAACATGCAGATATCAAACTCAGGCATGTTTATTTGAGTGTAAACTCTTCTAATAAAGATGTCTGGCTTCTAGTCTCTAGAGGACTGTGAGAGTCACGGCCTGCCTCCCACTGAACAGGGCAGACTAGACCTGGAGCTGAAGATTGAAGACACCAAAGAGATAATGCGCAAAGCTGAGGTCTGTAACTCAACTGAGAAAATTGATCCTGCTAATTTGGGATTTTTAACTTCTAATGCTCTATTGTTTTTGTGCCATAAAGGCTTTCCATTGATAATCTAGGTATTGAAAACACTAAGAAGAGCCTTTAGGAGTATGTATCCTGTTACAGATGATATGACCTGCTCCACAAACTGTTAGGAGGATCGTCTGCAACTCTAAAGCAAATAAGCATTCTGCTTAAGTGCACGTGCCATTTGCTAACTACAACTAGTCTTTAAACATACGGATGCAAACATCTTTATAACAGTTCAATCACTTTTTTACCAAAAGTCTCTCCATCCCTCCAAAAAAGGCCTGATAATACAGAGAAAATTAAGGATGAATAAAAATCAATGCCTGGGCTGAAAAACTTTGTGAACATATCTGAACATCCAAGGTCATAATTTTCTTTTTTAGAGACTCAAATCTTTGAGTCTGCAGAAAAATCAATTATTAATGTATCAATCCTCAGAGTTAATGAGGACCCTGTGATGCCTTCTGTCTTTTCTTAACTGGATTCTATCTGCTGTTTTTAGCCTCACAGATCCCATTGTTTTATTTTTTTATTTTTTCATTTTTTTTATGCAGTTTGAGTGTTTCATATTACAAAATTCACAGTTTATGCCTAAATGTACCCTTATTTATTCTTATAAATTTAGAAATATAGGTTATGATAATTTAGCTACATGCATGAATAAACTCTACTATGAAACTACTAAACAGAATGATTTACTCCCCATTTTTCTCCTCCCATCTGCATTTCCTAAGTCAGATTTGAGCTCCTTCTCTCTTACAGGCGGTCATTTCTTCCCCGACAAGGTCGCTGAATATTTTATGTGCTCATTTAAAACAGATGAGCTAATGACAGAGTTCTCATCTTATAATTATAAAAGCAAGACAAAGGACATTAGTTATTATCTGGATAGTGATTGTACCACCCAGCCTTTAACTAAGGTCAAGTATTAATCTTTCTAAGGTTCCTTCAGCATTGATATTGGCGTTTGGTTGGGTACAAAGAGCCGTGGAGCTGTAGTCAGAAGCTGACATGCTCAGACATTTTCCTTCTATTAAATTGTGGCTTTAATCGACTTATTCCATCCATTATTTCTAAGGTAAAACATTCATACATCTTGTAAATCAAGTATAATTTAAAAACAAGGATTTGGTGCACAGGTTTAAATTTATTCAGGATTTCCTCTAATCTCCACAGGATGAAAATGAAAGGATTAAAGGAGTCAAAAAATATAAACCTGTACGATTTTGATATAAGTTGTTTAGTAATGTTACATAATCAGTCTTTTTTTTTTATCCTTTTCTTAATTCTTAGAATAATATTAATTTTTGGATGAGCAGATCTTCTGTACTAAGCCGGTTTATACCAGGTTGAGATCACCTTATCATCTTCAGGATCTCCATCATTATTCAAACGTTGCTGCATTTTGTTCAAATTTTAACTTCCGATTGAAAACAACCGAGAAATAACTGCACATTCTGTGATCGCCTAAAGGTTTTTTTTTAAACAGCTGTACATCAGTGATGTTTTTTGACGACCTTTACATTTTCTCTATAAATGTGGGAGTTTTCTGCATCTCCATTATCAGTTTCAGCCTTAATGTGAAGCACCAAACACCATCACTGTTTTCATAACCTTATCATCTGCTATTAGGAAGAGCTTTTCTTGATGTGTTCCAGAAAACCTCTTGCAGATCCATCAAAGCCTATCCATGTTCGTTGTCTTATTGTCCACATTGTGTTATCTCTATCTGGTTTAACTGTTGTCTAAGATAAACAAACCTCTTTAGGTATATTGATGTTCTCCTCCCTCTTGAATCCTATAGGGTGGGTGAGTGGGAGGAACAGATGATTAAATTTGCCTCTGTGGTAGGCCTTTGTAAGTTGAGGCTCCCACCAAACAATTGGCCCTTAATTAAATTTTAATGACGAGCAGAGTCAGATCCTGAATTATATTTTAGCCAAAATAAACCTAAATAATACGGCTGGAGAACTGATTAAAAGTATTCTTGTCATACAGGTTGAGGTTTTGTCTCCATCAGAAGTTGGCATGTTATTTTTATATACAAGACACCACTGCCTCTGTATAAACTTCATTATTCTTTAAAAGCTTTATCATGTCTTTAGGTTTACCTGCACACTGCAATCTTTTACAGTCCTTTTCCTGATGTATCTGTCCCCTTTTAGATGTATTATTTATAGTTGTGTTTTCTGCTGCTCCATCTTTCCATCTAGATTTCCACTTTCCTTCAGTGATAATAGTATTGATTACAGCTCCTCAGCCAGACTGATTGTCTGAACTGATGCTGTCCTCCCACCACCGGCTGCTTCCATTGACCCATGCTTGTTATGCAATACTGATAGTTCTTTAGAGCAGGAGTATATGGTGCTGTGAATGTCAGGATTTCAGATTTTCTGTCAGATTTGTTTATTTGGAATTTAATACAGTGAGCTAGGTTTGATCATTTTTACCTTGTATTCATTATCGATGACAGAGAAAAATAAACATGGTGCAGTATGTCTGTATTGATTAAAGTGAGCAAGTTGGACTGGGAAATAAGCCAATCAGCTGTCAGTCTGCTCTGACAGCACTGGTGTGAAAGGAAAGAAGGTGGAACAGAAGAGTAAATGAATAAAAACAGGTTAGAAACTTAAGGATCAGAGATAGAAGAACCTCCCTAATGTCCCTATAATAGAACTAGAAATTGAACAAGTTTCATTGGGGGAAATGAAATAACAGATTCCGCTGTGACGTAACAGTAATAACGTAACAGTGACTTCTCAAAAGAAATAAAACTTTTTTAATACAAAAAGGAAACAATTGTGCAGAAAATCAAATATGTCATTATCCTTTTTATGTTTTGTTGTTTTTAAAGACAATAAAGTTGAAAGCCGAGGCTCGGTTGGACCTTTTACGGCAAGTTGGAGTGGCTGTAGATACCTGGCTGAAGAGCGCTATGAATCAGGTGTGTTTTGGATCGGGAAACATTAGGTGCAATATATGTGTGTGGTTATAACCATCTCTCTCTATGCTCCTTGCAGGTCATGGAGGAGCTGGAAAATGAACGCTGGGCCACCTACACAACCCACGATCCCTCACTGTCGGTGAGACCACCCCCCCACCTCTAAACCCCACTGAAAAATCAGTGGGGAAAATGTGCAGATGCAACCTCCTAGAACTGCCAAGATCATTTATGATTATCCTTCATTAAAAATATATTTTGTAGACTAAGATCACAGAGGGTCAGCATTTGAAAAAATAGTGCAACAATCAAAATGGCTGTGAAAGTATAAAAATACTGAAACATCAAATTAAAAGAGCATGACAAAAGGATCAGAGCGAGACAATTTTCATCAACTGTTTTACAGTTTTAGAGTGGAAGTCTAGAGACGAGACACAGAGCGACTGTGGGGAGGAAAGCTTGGTAAATCAAATAAGTTCAAATTAAAATCTCTATTCTACGCTGCCTTAGAGGTTGTTAAATTTAAACCTTAAAGAATCTTGGTGTAGTTTATGAAGCAAAAAGGTTGTTTTTAAAGTAGGACTTTGGTGTGATATAACTACAGATATAGAACTGATTAATGATCTTCTGCTCAGTCAGTTTTGATTTATTTGTTTGAAATCCTTATTTATTATTTATTATCTTTAAAAGTATGCTCAACTTTTGCATTGGTTCCTTAGTTCATATTATAATAGGTTTTTAAGCCTTCCAAAGTCATTTTTAGGCACGTGATTAGATATTACCTTTGGCGCTAGTACTCATTTTTTGTGAAATGATTGTTTTCCGGGGCCGTTTCTCCAGTCTGAAAGAAGGATAACCACCTTAAATGCAATGCTCTCTACACATTTCATAACAATAAGATCCCGCATCTTCTGTAGATGTGGCTCTTCTGTAGGAGGGCTGAACAAAGTCGGAGACCTATCTATAGCTTAAAAGTATTCTGGAGGATTTTCGCAAATTTTTTAAAAGACCTCCCCTCTCCACTTTAAACAAAAAAATAAATGCACATGCACAACCTGCTACCTCGAACGCCTTTTAAACGCGTGCGAGAGTATGAACGAGCCCATTTCTCCTCATACACGCTCTTTTTAAATGTTTTTGTTTAAATTGCTCATACAAGCTTATATTACAAAAGAAGATTTTGAATTTTTACACTATACTAGACTCACCACCGTTAAGTGAAAATGGGGACAAACAAGTAGGACGGCCTTACATAAACATATCACCAGAATGATTAACAGTTAGGAGGACCAATTATTTTTGATGATCCACCCGGAAAAAGAACATCCTCCACAATAGCTTTAAAAAAGAAAAGTTGCTGTCACTCCTCAGATTAAGTGCAAAAAGAGTCAATTCATCTCAACGTTATCGCCCGTTGACAAAAGCAGGCGTGTTGCTTTTATGGTGCACGTACGTCAAGGTCCGGGCATCCTGGGAGTAATCAACTGAGACATGCATGAAGCAGATTAAATACTACTTTAAGCATGATTTCTGATAAAGAAATAGCATTATAACATACTTAGAAGCCCAAAAAAGTGGGTTTTGCATGATAAAGACCCTATAAGAAAAAGGTAATTGAAGCATTAAAACCTAAGTTTGTCCAAAGAAAGAAACTCCACAGATTGACTCTGGTGTGGTCAAAGGCCTGTCGGATGGTAATCACCCAAGATTATTTTACAGACTGAATAAATGCACCACGCTGGCGGTGCACGTTGACAACAACAGTCCACTTTAGGAATAAGAGTCAGTTAGCCGTTCTCAGCATCAGTGAGGCTGACCTGAGAAATGGTTGGCTGTTCCAGGCATTTGATTCTGTTGCCTAAAATATAAAAAAACAAAGGTGGAGATGTCAGCTAGAACAGAACAGACAGGAGCTATTCTATATGATCAAAATTTCTACTTGTCCTTTCTAGAGAATGCTGACTGTAGAGATGTTGTTTTATTAAATCTTTTGTCTGAAAGATGTAAATAGGATCACAATTGACATCAGTCACTCTTCAAACAGCCAGCTGTTAATAAGGAATAGTGATGATGGTGTCCTCACATAATATCCTTTATTAAATGAGCCTTAACTTTGATAACACCTTTCAATTCATGTTTGGGTTAAAGGGATAGATATGTATGTTAATCAAGGCTGTTTATCTCTATAGCATATATTGATATTGCTTAAACACCTCAAAGAGCTTCAAATGAATGCAGATTGTGATTTAAAACCCGATACAAGAATCCATCACATTTACATTGAAGTTTTTGGTGCATTTCCTTTTACATACTTTAAAGTTAACAACAAACTAAATAAATCCTACAATTTTATATTAACATCTTTCATTTAAAAAAAATCAAAGTTGTGTGCAATCACAAGTGGAGTTAATTTTTTCATTGACGTTTCTTTACTTTAAGATAAGTGCTTCTTTCTGCCTTGAGGATTTACCCTTCACAGGATTTCTTTTTTCGTAGACGTGTTTGTGTCTGTCAGTCAAGGTGACTAAGCAGAGTCTGCCTGCTCCGTGGGAATCATTTGACATTCTGCTCACAGGATGCTGCAGCTCGCAACTATCAGGGGAGAGGAAAAGGGTGAGATATTGGGGTGTAGGGAGAACAGAGAAAAACGCAGGGAGAGGGAGGGAAAAATCTTGCAGGAGATAAATAGAAAGAAGTGGGGATAAGAGGTGGAGTTTCTTGCTGCGACAGAGGAGCAGCGAGGAGACGGTTACTGAAGCATGAGAAGAAAACGAGAGAAGTGGTGTGAAGAGAGGGAGAGGTGAGGTGAAAGTGTAACAGAGCAGTGACGGCGAAGGGAAAATTGCCTGCAGGGGTGAGAGAAGCGATAGAACGCCATAAGGCTGCTTTATGCTACAAAATCTATACGGCCTCCCTCTAAATACTGAGAAAGATCTGCTACTAATATATATTCAATGCATCTGATTAACAGTGTTGTCAAAGTATTAATACTTCCTGGACTTTTTCCTCATTTTATCAACTCAAATCACAAAGATTTTCATATGGATTTTAAGAGAAAGGCCAATAGAAGAGTTGTGCATAATTACAAACACAACATGAAAAGTGTGGAATGTCTCTCAGAGCTCCTAGTCTTTAGTCTCGTCCATCATCGTTCTACAGTTTTGTTGACTTGATTGTCTATGAGCAGCGTGACTAGGCCCCTCTATCATTATGCTGTGATCTAAGCCACCCCACTGCATCTCTGGTTCAATTCAATTCAGTTTATTTATATAGCGCCAATTCACAACACCTGTTATCTCAAGGTAGTTTACAGAGACAGTTCAACAAGATCATCCAGTCAGATTGGTTCAAAGTTTTCTATCTAAGGAAAACCAGCTGATTGCATCGACTCATTGACTCGAAAGCTATCCCTCATACCAAGAATGCATATAGCAACATTGGAGAGGAAATTTTTCTTTTAACAGGAAGAAAATCTCTAGCAGAACCAGGCTCAGTGTGAGCGACCATCTGCCGAGGCCGACTGGGCTTCAAGGAAATAGATGCAGACAATAGCTTAAGGTTATTTAGCTCCAGTCATGATCCATGCTGAATAAAAGCATCACCACAGCATGATGTGGCCACTGCCATGTTTCAGAGCTAGTATGATATTTTCAGGTTGAAGTGGTGTCTTTGTTTTTCACCTCCCACGGTGCTTTACACATGGGCCAAAGCTTATGTTTTATTTTCATCTGACCAGAGCCGTTTTTGTGTTCCCTACAAGGCTTGAAACACAATAACTGATGTCTTGTGTAACCAGTTAGCAGATTTTCCCAGCTTAGTCATGGATCTCTGTGGCACAGTGATTGCCTTGACAGACTCTCTAATAGATGTTTACTTTGGCCGACCAGCTGTTTTGGTGGCTGTCTCATTTGGTTTACATTTGACCCATGCTCTTTCCATATTTGTACAGTGATTTGAAAAGTGATCTGGGTAGTGATTTAGGGTTTTGGATATTGTTTAAAATTGTTTAACTTGTCCACAACTTTTTTCCTTCCTTATCTGCTGTGTGCTCTTTGGTCTTCATGATGCTGTTTGATCTGAGGCTATCACAGAAGAGCTGGATTCAGACTGAGATTGAATTACACATATTTGGATTTAACTTGAGAGCAGCTGTTTACTTTAGATTTTATTGAGAGGTATTGAAATAAAGGAAGCTACTTACAAATATGCATTGCACTTTTTTGAGTTTGTGCTTTGTAGAGTTTGTGCTCTTGAAAAAAAAATAAATATAAGGAAATTTAATATTTCTTTTGAACCGGTTCTTCTTTTATGAAACATTTTGGCTTCAGTCTGAGGTTACAGAAAAGCTGTCTTATAAGCACTACATTTATATTGGGCCTACAACAATTTGACCATCCCAACTAGGCTTTTCTCAAAGTAAACAAGAAGCCCAAACCGGACTCTGGCCAGCCATTGTTGACAAAGAGGAACCCTAACTCAGACCAGTCGTCTTTCAGTATATTAAGAGTTTCAGAGAATTGTTTTCTATGCATGACATCATTGGCTTAAACCCCTAAAACACATTACGGTAAAGTCTGGTTCACCCCAAAAATCTAGTCTCTTGGCACAAATGCTTTAATATTGTGTATTTGGTTAAGTGTCGGCAGGACTGGGACCAGTTAAATGTCAGGAAAACAAAAGGATGGTCCAATTCAGGAAAATGATTATGGCTTAGCAGCAAAATGGATGGTCCAGCACAGAGGAGTGACATCATCTGGCCAAGATTCAGCACTTTACACAGTGCTAAATCGATTAAGAATATTTAATATACATGTAGGGATTACATTGTTATGGTAATCACATATTCCGTATCATTTCAAGATATAAGATCAAGACTGAATTACAAGTACATGTCTGTTAATGCTATAGTATTTTTCTATTTGCAAATTGTGCATCCATCCATCCATCCATACAGCAGAAAACTGCTTGTTGTTACAGCCAAATACTGCACACGTCTGCATTTTTATGGTGCAACTCCGTGAGTAGGGAGTACCAAGATGGCGGCAAGTGAATTCAGTTTTTTTTCAGCCTGTTGGTTATCAAGTGGTTAAACAGAGATCTGTGCTCTCACCTACCACAGCTTTTTTTAAGATTTCAACAGTCCATGTGAGCTTTAAGATCTGCAGCACCTTCGCAATCAGCCTCCGAACCTTGACCGTAACTTTTATTTGCAGTTCATCTGTGAAGCTGCACTTTCGTTTCTGCAGGTTGTGTCAAATGCTGGTTTCTCTGCACCCTGTGTGTGTCTGTGTGTGGATGTCTCGCCAGACCCTCCCACAAGGCAGTCCCTCGAGAATTATCCCGGGGACCGAAAAGTACTGTAGTATTCTGTGCAAAGCACCAGTTTATTTAAACATATGATTATGGTCCCTTAAAAAACAGTAAAAACTGAACGCCCTGGACAGAATGTAAAAAGTGGACATGTCTGAGCAAAAGATGACGTTTGGTCACCCTATACAACACCACACTGTAAGGAGAAGTAGAAATCACAGTTTCCAACATTTTCAGTGCCACAATGTGTCGTCCATCAGCAATTACAATTTTCTGCCTACATGTTTGAGATTTATCAGGATATTTATCATTTTCCACCCATTTACATATTATGCTGCTTATGAAATTGTATTAATTCACATTGATGTCAATTTAGTTAAGAGCCCATCAGGGTCAAGGATAGATGTGACTGATTCAGGAGTATTATCACGGCTTAGCAGCAATTAATTATATTTACTTATACGGACCAAGTCCAAAAGAGTCTGGCATCAGGAGAGAAAGATATTGTTGTGATTCTTTGGAAAGGATTTGTGTCAACAAATTCAAACAGTGGTTTGCAAATTATATGGAGACATTGAAGTTGCATCACAAACACAGAGAAAAGGAGGAATACATTGCAAACAGTAATAAGAAGGACAAGATCAAGGCATCGCCTCTTCCCTCTTTCTTCCCCTTCTCATCTTTATTAATGCCAAAAGGGAAAAACTGGCACCAACCCACAAGTCTCTCAGGCAGCAACTGCCTTCATTAACACATAACTTTCACAGTTATTACCTTCAAGACCAATAAAATCTGCCATTGTTCTTGGTTTCAGCAGCACCGCTTCAAACACTGAGGCCTATGCACATTGATTTCTTTTTTTATTGGGTTATCCATGCTCGGCTTTTCACTTCAGCCGTTGAATCTAATCTGCCTCACAGAAAAATCAGACAGTTTTTAACACTTTGCTTTTTAGAGTGAATAAAGGTCATCCAACCTGATAAACCCACTGACACCAAAATATTACCTGGACCAAACCTGGACATCAGGTTGCTTCATGGCAGTCCGAGGCGAGCAGCCCCACCCTCCTATCTGTTCTACAACCACGTCTGAAAACACCGCCTCTTTAAAGTGTTTTCTCTGTTGCTGAATCAGGCATTGCTCCACTGTCATTTGCCTCATTTAAGGAAAATAAATTAGTTCTGAAAGTTTTAACTCTACCGTGACATCCTATCCATCGCTCAAATGTTAGATCTGAAGTTACACAGATTCACCAGTCAGTCAGTCAAATCTCCTCTGATGGGCTCTAATCAGACTTGCCTGCCAAATACTAAACAATCTGTCTTTCTCTATTCATGAAATCTACTCTGAACAATTGAGCAAAACAACCAACATCATGTACAGTAGGTAGTTGCACACCAATCCATTAGTTGGGAGTGATGGCTTATTGGTCAGAGCAGTGTGCTTGTGCGCTGAGAAGGTTACAAGTACCCAGTTTGACCTCTGGGTTCCTAAGCAATTCTTTGTTTATCTTCACTGTCGCGTGTTCCTTTCTCCTGATGCATTGCATTTGCATTGTTTGGGATAGCCACATTGATCACATCGGCTGGCCTGGAATTTTCTTATCAATTATTAATTAGTCTGGTTGGTTGGCCAACTCAGTTTATGTACAAAGTTCATGAGAATCATAGCTTGATTATTAACCACCACCTTGGGAGGTAATCCCCACTTAGACCCAAGGGGTCTCTAGTTTGTATTTTATGCATGAGACCAATCAAGTCAACATATTGATATTAGAGAGGCGGTAGTTTGCAGAATACTGTGACTTATGTGGAGCTTGTACTTTTGCAGTGGTGAGTTCTCATTGAACATTGAGTATACGCTTTGTTAATCTTAAAAAAATTTAGTTATTAAACTGCATTATATTTGATTGATTCCATGAGTATGTTGCTCATTAATCAGCTGTTTATTCCGCTCTTGGAAGCAATCTCTTGCTCTGGAGCAGCAGGACGCTCCCTTTCAGTCTATGAGAAATCCCTGTTGAGGCTTGAGCCTCCTTGTATTGAAGCAACCAGAATGAAAGTAGGGCTTCTATTGAATAACACGCAAAAATCTGTCACTTACAGTGAGGCTAAACCTCTTAGAGTGTCTATAGAGCGGGGGCAGGGGGTGAAGCTTGCTGCTTGAGGCTGATTGGACGGACAAAGTAAAAGACATTTGACTGACAGCGGCCAAACAGAGGGGAGGTTTTCCTCTTGAGCCGAAAAGGAAAAGAGATCATTCAGACAGAACATTTGTCAGGTGCTGAACTCTTGATATGATTTCTGAAGTTTATTATTTCAAAGCGCTTCACAACAGCTATTTTCACCTGTTGTGTTTTATGTGTTTCAACATTTGTTAACGCAATATGTTACGTTTGGATCTAATTAACACTGTTGGTAGCTTAACAATTATAAGAATTTTCCTTAACCTTTCACACACACACACACACACACACACACATATATATATATATATATATATATATATATATATATATATATATATATATATATATATATGTGTGTGTGTGTCATACCTTCAGCCCACACCCAAGATTCAAATATTCTTGGAAATAAATGTCTCTATTTAGGAGATCAGCTCTGAAGATTAATTCATGTACAAAACAAAGATGAGTTTTGCTCTGCAGTGGTGCAAAGTTTACTGTGTCAACAGAGTTGATGTGTAAACACAGCCACCTACTAACAAACACACACACACAGACACACATGTATGTACACAATCTATTGTTATTGACCAAGTCGGCTTTCTGTGTGTATGTGATGGATCTTTCCATTAGCCAGGATCGTGTGACGTTCACGTCTGCGGGGGAAATTCACATGGATAGAAAAAAAAAAAACAGGGAGGGGCCGCAACACATGAGACAGCATTGGCTCAGCACCTGTTTCTAAAGCGCCAGAGCACACAGCAAAAACTAGGCAGGAATAAACGGTGAGGAGTCCTCTGCGTAGGGTGGTTCCTGAGGCTAGAACAGATGAGTCCCTAGTGACTGATTAGACCAATAGCAAACTTTTTAGACCTTTAGATAACTTTGTGTTGTCTTTATCCTTTGTTTTGACGGCCTGGCTGTACCTCTGCTTGTGTGTCAAAAGGGCACGGTGGACCTGGAGCGTGAAGAGGGAGAGGAGTGTGAAGAGAACATGGAGGTCTTTGACGACAGCAGTTCCAGTCCCTCGGGAACGCTGCGCAACTACCCGCTAACCTGCAAAGTGCTCTACTCCTACAAGGTACGATACAGCACAGGGACTTAACTTACTGTCTGCTTTTCTTTCACCTTCATATTTATCTCTTTATTTGGTCTTTACTGTAGGCGTCTCAGCCGGATGAGTTAACCATTGATGAACAGGAGATGTTGGAGGTCATCGAGGATGGAGACATGGAGGACTGGGTCAAGGTACACACACACAAAAACATATATTAGTTCAAAATATGAAATGAGGCAGTCTCTGTCTCCCCAGACTGGCTCTTATCCTGTGTTTTGTCGCAGGCACGGAACAAAACGGGTCAAGTGGGCTACGTCCCGGAGAAATACCTCCAATTCCCGACTTCCAACAGCCTGCTTAGCATGCTCCAGTCCCTGGCCACGCTGGACGCCCGATCACACACCTCCTCTAATTCCACCGAGCCGGAGCTGCACACTGTCTGCATCAATGGAGACACAAACAGTATGTATTCAGGGGAGCTGGTAATGCCAGATCATTGACACAATTTAATTCTACTTTTATCACTGTGAATACTAGTATTTATAGCTATATTATTATTGGTTAAGGTTGATGTTTATTGCTTCTCTGGAATCAAGAAAGACTAATTGTGATTAATTATGTAACAGAAAATGTGTGATTAATTGAAGAAAATAGAGCAACCCTTCAACAACAGTTTAATGACAATTGAAAAAAGCAATTCTAATAAACTAAATGTTGGCTTATATCTGGTCTGTAAGAGCAGACTTAACAGTTAGACTGGGTTAGAGAAACAAAAAAAGTAGTTCCGTTAAAAATGGTTCAATTTTCTATGGAGATTTATTTCAATTTTTGGAAAAATGTTTTCCATTTTGTTGATCTAGAAAGTGATTTTAGTCTCTTCTCAGCAAAAAAATCTGCCTTTGTAAAATACTTGCTAGATTCACCAAAGGTTAGTGAATGGGTGTGCTTGAGTATGTTTGCTACCCTCCTTATTATGACATTAGGAAAAGAGCAAACAAAACCTAATGAATAGCAGAAAAACTCTTCATGTTGGACTTAAGATCAAGGGTCAAATTTGCCCTACACTTGAGCTGAGGCCTCACGAAATTATCCTAAGAGCCGCAAATAGACACCCATGATCTAAACAGATTGGCTCGACTATCAAAGCATTAATGGAAAAGGCAGGAATAAGGAAGGTACCTCTGTGGGAGCTACAGAGATTCAGTGCTCAGGCGTGGGAAACTACTGAGAAAACGGCTATTAGCTGTGCTCTAATGCCCCAATCTTCGTCCTCTGAGACGATATCGTAGCTTGAAGGTGTTTCCTGAATACAGACGAGGACTCGTTGGTCTCATTATAAGCTTCCTCCATTTATCCTGGAGCCAAGATGAGGTGGCGGCCAAATGTTTAAAGATGTAGTTGATGATGAAACCTGGACCAGTAAACCAACTTGATAATTCAGGCATTTTATGTCCCGGTCTATATAGAGATTTTTTTGTTGTTCTATCTTTAAAGCAAACACAAGCAGAGCTGTGATCGTTATTTTCTATCTGCTGTATTCTTTTATATTTTGCTTCATTCTTGAACTTGCATGTTTTCCAGGTTGTTTTCCGTTTCCTTTCAGACATCTTTGTAGCTTTGCTTTGTCGGCTCCACCTGCATGCTTGAATCAAACGAAGGAAATCCCATCTCACAATCATTGTTATTGCTGGTTGTGTCTTTTATCCCCTCTGTCCAGCTGGGTGTAAAGTTTTCTCTACAACAATGAGAGAAAAGTGGAAAAGGAAATATATTTTGCTGAGAATAATTGCTCCCTCTGAGTAACCCTGATTGCTCTCCTCCCCGTCTTTGTTTCCCTCTATCTCTTTCTATGCAGCTGTCTACGTTCGTGCGCTTTATGATTATGAAGGCCAGGCGGACGAAGAGCTCTCCTTTTCCGAGGGCGCTGTGATCCGTCTGCTGAACCGCGACACTCAGACAGACGATGGCTTCTGGGAAGGCGAACTGAACGGACGAGTGGGGGTTTTCCCTTCTGTGCTGGTGGAGGATCTGACGGAGAATGGGGAGATGAGTGGAGGAGGACTAAATGACACACAGGTACATATAACAGTAGTTTTGCTGTTTGTCATTTCAGAAAGCAAGAATGGAGATAATCTTCACAGGTTAGTAATTAACAACACCTAAGTCTGGAGCTAAGCTGCACAATCAGCCCCATCGGTCTGTCCTCAGGGCTGGGAAGGAGAGTAGTCTGCTGGCCCACTTTACACTTCGCCTTCCCTCCCTTCCTGTCTGTTCTCCAGCTAATTTATCAGCGGAATTCACAAACAGTGAATCACAAAAATTAAATTCCGGCTTCATCAAAATTAAGCATCGCAATTACAGAAAAATGTTCTTATCTGTGGCACAGAGCACTGCCCTATTAGCGTCCTGGCAGCAGGAAGGATGCAGCCTCTCCCTTCCTTTTACCCCTCAGACCAATCGCTGCAGCTTTTAGCTACTTTGAGGTGTTGTATGTGGTAGATAGGTTTAGTTATTCCAAACGGTTTGAGCTATTGTTACACTGAACTAATAAATATCTAGTTATTTAAAAGAAACTTTTTTTTGTTTACATCCTCTGGAAGTGGAAATTATTCAATTAAAGGTAAACAAAATACATAAAAAAAAATGTTTCTGTCAGTGGAAATGAAACTTTTTCCTCATAATTCGTAATAACCAATGTAGTCTTACCCCTTTTATCTTCATTAAGAAGCTTCTTGTAGCACCTTCCAGGCCCCCACTCCATACTTACTCCTGTGAGATGTTTTAAGGGAGAAATATTTGTTAAAAATCCAAATTAAATTCCTGTATGTCAAAAAACATAAAAAAAAATGATTAACTGAAAATTATTAAACATCTAATAAAGCTGTAGGTGACTCCTTAAATGAAGGAATGACTTCTTACTATTAAGTTTTTAAAACTTTTAATAAATAGCATTAACTAAACATTCTCAAACCTTCTAATTTAAAAATAGTTTAATTATCGACAACAAATTTTATTGTTTTATTTAATACCACCTGAGTTGTTTTTAAACTATCTTTTGTTGCTGTTGCATTCAAATTACTGCATATTTAATGTTTTAAAGTGTTTACCTTCATTAATTTAACTCTTTGTCTCTTTTGCTGTGTTTTCATAAAAAGCTGGGTTATATAAATTAACCAATATATTTATTTTATTTTCTTTCTTTAAAGTGAATAGTACATATTTTTTTTAGAGTTTTCTTATTTTCAAATAAGTTTCACTCCTGGCTTTTTTTTTCTAGATTTCTCCATCTTCAAAGCTGCCATCTTCCCTGCCGCCTCTGCCTCTATACGACCAGCCTCCCATCAGCCCTTTCACCAGCCCAGAGACCTCCACGCCTCCTCCTCTGCCGCGTTCCCCCTCCACAGCACTTAACGGAGAGCACAAGCTTCCACTGCCTGCTGCCTCTTACAAAGGACAGCTGTCCTCTCACAGTGAGACAGGCTCTGAACTTTCTTTAAACACCTCATCGATCCAGAGAGAGGTCTCTGCTGACGCTGCGCTTGTCTGTCCCTCTGTAGATCACAGCTCGGGCAGGAGTCCAGTGTCTCCAGGATTTCCTTCGACTCAGCCGCTGCGTTTTACAGCTGAAGGTGGCGGGTCGGGCAAACTACGACCGGTTAGTATCAAACGTATCCAGGATGTGATCAACACGTTAAAGTTATTAAGCATAAACATTTAAAGTATTAATTCTGTAATGTTTTCTGTACTGTTTTAAATTCACAGCTGAATAAACAGTTTGTGTTTAGCTACAATAAAACCAGTTACTTCTAAACATTATAGACTTTAAAGCTATTGTGGAGGATTTTTTTTTTTAAAACCCGCCCTCTCCACGGCAAAATAAAATGTGTGTGCAAGTGCATGCACGGCCCATTTCTGATGCATGGCCTGTTTAAAATGTGCTGTTCTCATACAAGCGTACTGTGTCCACCTACAGCGGGGAATATATAGTGGACTTTATGGCAAACTCAATTAATTTACCGTTTGGACAGATGATAATTCCTTTTGATCCGTTGTTCATGTAACTCCTCCATTGTGTGCAGTGCCTGCACCATCTTTGTTATTAGTCGCCGCTGTCAGGTAGCGAAAGCCTATGGCGACAGTGGCCTGCTGTGACAGCAAATCCCATAATGCTTTGCGAAGAGAGCTCTCCATGAAAAGCCTTCTGGGATATATGTGCCTCTTCTGAGGCCTTTCTTTTCTTCTCATACACTTCGTAGACAATTTCTCTCTTACGACTCTCTGCCATTTCAAAGAACCGCAGTGAATAAGATGAGCTTCAATGACTGTCTGAAACCGTAGCTCGCCACACATATGCGGCTGAAAGTGCGCATGTGCAGAAAAAGATAGTTATCGGGACGAGGACATAGGACGGGCTTACATAAACGTATCACCAGAATGACTGACAATTGGGAGGACCACTTATGTAGATGATCCACCAGGAAATAAAAGATAGTCCTCTATACCTTTAACTTTCCTGTTATCAGAACTTAAAATACAATTAGAGTTTTAATTATAAGATATTTGCTATCAATGAATTTATTAATTGAATAAAAGGATTTAATGTCTGAAAAGACTGATTCCTGATCTGAACCATTGTGGTACGTGGAGTGGGACAAGTTCGCTGCAATATGATTATGTAGATGTTATTCTGCTGTTTGTTTGTAATAAAATAAAGATAAGATGTTCTAGAACTCAATATATTTTCATGTTGACATGTTTCCTTTAGTTTGCTTTAAATGAGGTATGTAGCTGAAAAATAATGATTTTCAATGCCATTTAAGAAATATATTTTGCAGATGATTTAAACAGGGCGTTGAGCTGGTGAAAAATCATTACCTTTTTCATTTATAAATACCAAACTTTGATAAGTTTCATCACAGGTATTCCAACGTGAGGTGAAATAATTTTTCTTATTAATAATGAAAAAAGAAAAGAAATGTAAAGTGGATATTGGTTTGTTTGTTTTTTCATTTAACTGATTTGTTTTGCGTGCTGCAGGTGCGAGCCGCTCCGCCTCCACCCAAACAGCATCCCCGCCGACCGCATGAGAAGAGCGACAAGACGGAAGAGGTGGAAATCACGCTGGTGTGACGGACGAGCTTGGCAGGTGGATACAGTTGCAGAAAAGACATTGTTGCAGAGCGCATGATACGCTCTGAACTGATGCAAGCATAAATGAAGCAAAGACAAAGGAATTCAATCGAACCACGGTGACACTTCTCCCCCAGGGAACTGTTGGCATGTCCGATTAAATAATCACCATTTTAGCCTCCTGCTAAAGTCCGGCATTACGTTCTCCAAGCCCCTGTTCACCAATCTGGCCTCAATGAGCAGCAAACTGGAGCAGGATGAAGAGGAGGAGATGTTCTTCATGGGGATCACGGATGGGTTCTTTAGACTTGTTAGGCTTACAACATATTTAAGGCAGTTTGTCCCTTCTGCACCTTTTAAACCCCCTCATGAAGTTAAATAATGAAGCATACGTAAAATATCAGAGCCCCAAACTGGCAGAATCTTTATAAAGGCAAAAGAAAAGCAAAGCATCAAAGCTGAGATTTTTATCAGACCGTTAATATCTGATTTTAGGCGCATTTTTTATTATATTTTCTTCAAACCTGCTAGGATATAAAGCGGTGAATGTAACGTTTGGGAGTATTTGATCACTTTTAATCTACTGTGGTTAACATTCACCAAAAAAGTTCAGCTTTTTCTTTTGGATCCAGCTATCTTTGAACCAAATCTGTAAATATATATAAAAGCAGATGCAGTTGCTTTTTGATGAGGTCACCTAACGATTTAAGAACCTACAGGGCCATTAAGAGTTTTATAATCCATATGAATGGCTCTTTTAGAGTAATAATACTGAAAAACAAAAAAAAAACTTGTTTCAAGCAAGTTTATTGTGAATTTACTAATTTAATATTGTTGCCCAATAAGTCCAAATAGATATTGTTACTATGTAATTATACTTCTAATGGGATAATTTATTCTCACCTATTAATATATTAATATATTCAAAATTAAAGCTCTAATAAAATTAGCAACGTGTTCAAAAATAACAAAATTATTCTAATACTATGGGCAGCAGTGCACAAATACATTAATACATACATCTCTGCTGCTTGAGCTTAAAAAAATCAACATTTTAACAGCCAGATGAGACAAGAATCAGTATAGAGAAGTGGAGATAAGGCTTTAATATGGATATGGATATATTAGAGTCTGTATGTATAACCCTGACTCTGTCAGGGATGAAGGAGAATCCAGCTTTGTGTTGCTGATATTTGCTTTTAAAATTCACCCATCCCTGATAGTAGACTAATTAATCCAGAATAATACTTAAACAAACCTTTCTGGCCTCATAATCAACACATTTGTTCCAGCCTTTTAGAGGCACTGTATACATCTGTTGCCCTTAGCGACGTTTTGCGAGTTTTGAGGCTCCATCAAAAAGAAGATGTGCAAAGAAAAAACAAAACAAAAACTCAACTCTCTTTGAGGGTTTTTAGGGTGCAGATCTGGGCTGAGGGAAGAGGGCCGAAAACCCAAATGGTGGGTTTGCTTTCAAGTCCTCCCCTGCCATATATAGTCATTATCATTATACGTATTTAATGTGTATTAGTACAGTACATTACTGTTGTCATAGGAATGTTTATGCACATGGTTTCATATAAAGTAACCGACCTGAGTGGAATACCCTGTCTGATATGTAGTGGAAGTTTTACCTTCATCATGTGCTGAAAAGGGTGTTGTATATACAGGAGGGAGGAGAGAAAGGAGGAGGGAAAGGAGGAGGAACAAGAGCTGACGGAGGCTGGATCTTCGCTTTTCTTGCACTCGCCTCTCCTCCCATCGCTGCTTCATGTCTCTCCTCTAAACATTCATTCTGTCTTTGGGCAGTCGGTGTGAATCAGTGGCTATAATATACATACATACAGCTCTATTATATTACACAAACAAGTTGTTATATCTTCTCTCATTCTGTGCCCTGTGGGATTTTTTAAAAATGATTTTCATTTTTTTCCTATCACCAATTGAGAAAGGCTGCTGGTGCTTTAAAATGCACTGTATCTGTTGGTATTCACTATGTGGTAACAAAAACGTTGCAATTTAACAACTATTGAAGGCCAGAAACAAAGACTGAAGAGTTTAACCTCAAGATCAAATCCTTGTTTCTTTAGCTCCATGTTTACCTGACATGATTTAATCTGCAGAAATGAGAATAATGCTCAGATGGAGCTCAATACTTATCTGTGGTGTTTGTTTTTTTTCCCTTTTCTGCTCAAAGTTGATAAATAACCCTCATCTTCTACTATTCAAGCCTTTAAAAGTCCTTCCCTAGAGGGCGTTGTAGCACTTTTATTTATTTTTACCTTTCCTGCAAAGTAGCAGTACCCTGAGCATGGACAGAGATAACTCTTGATAGGGTTACCGTAGCGACAGAGATATGAGTTTCATCTTTTCATATTTGCTCTAGAGATACTCTTTTATCAAGGGTGGCTGGTGCATAAAAAGCCTAAAAACTCTTTAAAAGAGATGAATTTAGTAATTTGTTAAAATTATGAAAGGGTTTTTATTGGTTGGTGTTTTTCATCTGCTTTTGTCAGCTATTGGTGTAGAAGAGCTCGGTCTTCTGGGCCCTTTTGCCCTTTAATATATTTTCAGGTTCCTTTTTTTTGTTTCATCTACAATGAAACATTTCATATTGAATAATTTAAACAAACCTTGTGGTGAATTAGTACCTCAACCCAGTGCTATAAGACGAATTTCTAAAGTCCTATATATATATATATATATATATATATTAAATAACTCAGAAAACCCCCTGGTTGAAAATCTCTGCAGACACTCTTGGGCCTCTTGTGGTAAGTTTTAGGTTCAACTTACATTTTTTTCTGCTAACAATGAAGAAAAAGTTAAATGACAGATTTGTATAACCCTCCTTTACTTTTTTTTATGATGTTGTTCAGAGGGATTTTTTCATAAGATTTGGAGTGTTGTTCCAAGCATTTCTGACTTTTAATTGCCACTTTCCTCTTTCCGCATCTTTTTTTTTTTTTGACAGTCTTTCTTATCTAATGCAGCACTGAGATAATCTTTGGTTTTTATGTTTTTTTTATAATTCTGATTGATTCATGTGCTGCGCAGCCTGCCAGGATCAATGATGCAGTGAAACAAACTGGCCTTCTCCCTTCATAGACTGTTGCCATTGTGACAATGATGAGAACAGGAGCTAAAGTCTTTCAGCGTATTAATATTGGCTGTACAAAAATAGAGTTTGTATTTATTGTGTACAAAAAGTTCATTAATAAAAAAATGTTTTAAACAGTTTTGCTCTGATGTGTCTGAATAATTGCATGGATACAATCATCGCGATGGAGTTTTTTTGAACCTGTCGAACTTTTACACGTTTGAAGCAAATGTTTGTGAAATACCAACAAGAAGATCTGTTCGAATAAGATCTAAGTAGTTATATAAAATTTTTGTTATAATTCAGAACCTAGATACAGAAAAATGTTTGGAGTAAATCTGACTGCTATCCTCCGGAAGATAGAAAGGACAGGAACCTGCAAGAAAACAACAAAATATTCAAAAGCCAGTTGTTAGAACGTCCTAGTCAAAGTGTAGCACTAGATTCAAATAGAAATATGTGTTATGATTCTAAAATATCTGGTCAGAACCTCCATTCAATCTAACTTTAAAGTATTTGCAGCTAAATCTGGTTGTATGTGCCTTAAGGTGGCTGAATTAAAGGCCCGCTTCTCTCATATAATCCCTCCAGATATGCATAATGGGTTCTGGTTGCAACCTGATGAAACGGATATATTTGCAAGGTGAAAAATGTCAAAAGTCTGTTGAAGCAAATATAAGCACTTGCATACATAAAGACTTGGAGTGATTGTGTTTTCCAGTTAACAGGAATGGGTGGGGTCAGGATATTGCAGTCTGTAAACAAAACCTGAGCCCAGAGTTTCCTGACAGGAGAGGACACAGTAAGACCTGTTCAGAGGAGAGGTATCAACTTTATGGTTTAGTCAGTTATTATTGTCTTGGAAAAATATTTACTTCTAAATATATTAAATTAGAAGGTCACAGAGTAGGCATGCCCTCTAAAGGAGAAGGCCGGTACTCGTCACATTCCTGCTGCAGCTCATCCTGTTTCAAAATCTATGTGTGCTCCAACCCAGAAGGTAGAGTATTTACATATATATGTCAGTTTATAATCAGAGAATTATGTCTAAAAGTTTATTTTGTTTGCATTCTTAGGTTTTGTGCAATTGTTTTCTCTTTATGTTTTATTTTTTTGCATGTCAGACAGCATAATCGAGCGGAGAGCTCTCAGGGAGAAAGTGCTTCCCAGGTTTAGAGAGCACTGTAGGAACTTACTGGCACTAGATGTCAGGGTAAGTAAAACAGGAGCTAAGAGTTCAACATTATTGCTCATAAATTATCTGATCATTTTGCATTGGTTCCTTTTAGCATTCTGGTTTTAAATAAATGCTCTTGTAAATATTCTGGCATTGAGCTAAATATTAATGGGTATTTAGGTGCAAACTTAAATGCAGTAAATGGGTTTAGGCAGGGGGATATTAAAGGTGCTGCTGTTGATTATTTTCAGCTTTTTGATTGTATTTGTTGTGTGTTTTTTTTCCTACTCCCTGCCTGAAACCACTCCTGTAAAGGTTTAATCAATTCTGCTCAACTTCCCTTAATCACATATGACAGCAAAGACGGTGAACAGCTGCAAAACGACGGCTCTGCATGCTTTGTGCTTCTAAATACATGTGTGTGGGTGTGTGTGTAAAATCACCTCTGGACAAGTCGATCAGCCCATTGTGTAGCGCTCTCTATTCAGTGGCCTGTGTAATTAGATACAAACATCATACATCATTCAGCCATTTCTTGGTTGTTTGCAGGTTGGTGCAGCTAATGAAGTTTTCTGTACCGGCTTCCAGTTATGTCTCTCTTTGTTTGTTTTGTGTGTGCATGTGTGTGTTTCTGCAGCTGATTGATCCATTTGAGTCCAGTGATCCTAAGTGTTGGCCAGATGCAAACACCAGGCAGCAGCTTATTGAGGAGTGCAGAAAGAACTCAGCAGGACCCTTTTTACTGGTAAATAAAACAGCAGCATCACAGAGAAACTAAATATGGAGATCTAAGCTTGTGCTCTCACTGTAAAGCTAAAAGCTGCATTGTAATTAACCAATAATTACCCAAGCTTTACAGGATCATGTGTGAAAGAGCCCACACCTCTTTGTCTGCTATTCTTTTGAATCCACATGGTGGTGCTGCAGGCTCTGGTGGGACACCAGTATGGATCAGCCGCTCTGCCCTCCCAGGTGGAGGTGTCAGAGTACCAGCTGCTGCTACAGGCATGCCAGCAGGTGGGTGTCTGCACCCAACAGCTGGAGAGGGTGTACCAGAGAGACGAGAACGCAGTTCCTCCCTCCTACCGCCAGACAGCTTCTGTGGAATCCGCCGGCAGCCTTCTGGTGATTAATGCAGACATATTATTTAAATTCACATTGGTTTTAATAACATGTTTTAGATTTGTTTTTATGTTTATTTAAATGTCATTTATTTTCAGGAAAATGTATAGAAATCAGTCAATTAACAGATAAATATGAATATCAAACTCCTTTATTTCATCATAACACGTTCAATATCAGTGTTAAGAATATAGAAAATAACAATACTACAAACATAACATAGTGTAGTGTTGTTTCACATTCATATAATTTACTAAAGGTAAATATCTAATAATTTAGTGGAACTTAGAAAATAAGAGAAGAAAATGAAAAGCAACATTTTTATTTTCTCACTAGGGAGAAGAGATTAAGAAGATGCAGAACAGAGAAGATTTTAGGAAGGTGTTGCAGAAAGCTGTGAGTCTGTGTGAACAGAACAGACTTATAACTGCAGAGAGAGCCCATGCCTTCTACAGATCAGGTAAATAAGAAAATAAAAAGCTTTATTTATTTAGAAAGATTTGGTTCATTTTATTTTAGTGGATCTGCAGTCTATGCAGCGTCTCCTCAGGGATCCCTGGCCTTAGCTGGGGCTTTATGGGAAAGAGACATATTGACCCCCCCAGAACACGCTGGTTTTTCCCATTGATTGGAAATCCAAGTAGATTCAGGAAGTGAAATAAGGGGCTTTCAATCTTTGCTTCGTCAGCATTCCTCAAGGTTCCAACACAATTTGAATTGGAAACTAACTTCTAGTAAATCAGGTGCTTATCTTCAGATAAATCAGCCAATAGGTGAAATATTTAACTAATGCTGCAACTAACTATTATTTTGCAAGTTAATTAATATGTCAATTCTTTTTTCATTAATCGATAAATAATAAGCAGATAGCAAAAGGTTCCTGACAGAAGAACATTTACTAAAGTAAACTAAGTGAAAATTTAATTTTCCACTTGAGGAGTTCAGAATAGAGAATATTGACAGACGAAATTGTTTTTATCTTAAATGCCAAACGTTTGAAATTTCATAATTTTGGTATAATTACTTCTCTAAGTGGGTTGCTCTGTCAGCTAAAGACATGTTTTAGAGTATCTCTACTCCAGTTAACGAGTAATTATTTACTTGATTAGTTGACGATTATTCAAATAATCAATTAATCATGATTAATACGATTAATCGTTTCAACCCTAGATTTAACCCATAAGTAAAGTTTGAGTGATACATACTGAGAACTACATCTATCTAAAGAAAAGGACAATTCACATAATTTTTGGTTTCAAATCATCCTAAAATCTGATCTTTGTGCTAAAGCTTAACTGGTTCTTAAACTGGGTCTGGTTTAGAGGCCAATTTTAATTTGTGTTTAATTTCACCAACAAGTATTATATCTAAGAAATTGTGTTTTATAAGGTGTAAGACTATTTTTGGAGAACGCAGTCCTAATTTAACATATCTGAGTGAAACCGTTATTTGATAAGTTAGTCTGGGTTCCATAAGATCTCTGCTAGTCCTTTAGCACACCACTGATTCAGAAGCCAACTTTGTAGCTCTTAAGAGGCAGAAAAGGAATCATGACAGGTTTACAAGCATTTTCCAAATATTCAAACACTAAAAAGCCCCCCTCCCACTTACAATTAAAAAATGGAAAAGGATAAGGACTTTAAAAGCAGATGATCAGATTGGTCCTGATTCTCCTGAGCTAAAAACAGCTGACTCTGGATTTCTTTTTGTGTCCAGCTCTGGATACAGATCTTCGATTTGCTCTGGAAAACTGCCCCGTTCAGGACATCGCCAACAGATGCATGATCTATGTCCACAAGGTCGTCAATGCAGACGGAGAGAGGGGAAAAACTCAGAGAAATTCAGAGCTGCAGCCAGAGTTAAAGGTAAAAGTTGTTCTAAAGGGAGACATTAAATGTAGGCACATGTAAACAGGACTGAAGTCGACTAACCCTATGATTGAGTTCACCAAGGCGATGCTCTATAGAGCTAAAACAAATGTCTATTTCCTTCATTTACAGGCAGACCCCTTTGAGCAGAGTGTCCCCACACCTTCTGAGTTATTATCACAGCTATGTGATGTCTTCCTCCCTGCTCTCCTCTCCTCCCACCAACTTCTCCTCTACTCCACGACCACTGAGTGCGACCGCCGGCACGGCTACACCACAGCCAGGAGGCGAGCCTACGCAGACGCTCTGTGCCAGCAGGTTTTCTCTGACCTCATGGCAATGACTGACAGCAGCAACGTTTGTCGGCTCAGAGGAAAAGCTTCTGTTATTGATGCTCCGTCCAGAGAGTGGGCCCAACAGGAGCATCTGTGCAGCATCCTGGCTCAGTTTTATAGCATTATTCAACCAGAGGAGGAAGAGGTCAGGAAGGATTGAGCTATATTATTATCATCATCATTATTATTGTTGTGTTGATACTGATATGTAACCAAAATATGCTTCATCCTTCTTTTTGCTGATTGTAGATAAGAGCTTATGTGAAACAGATTGATCAACAGAACCCACTAGTGGTGACTGGAGGTCCATGCACTGGGAAGACTGTGTTGGTCGCTCACTGCGCTCAGCAGGTCAGTTGACAAATATTAAAGGTATACACACACGTCAGGGGCGTTTCTGGGACCTGGGAATATTGGGGGCTGAGCCCTCTGCCCATTAGAAGAATCTCTGGGAATTTAACAGGAAAAAATGGCTTTTTATTGAAACATTCTTGAGTATTCTGGCACCTTGTTTGAAACCAAATATTGCAATATGTACAGTCTACTGTATGTAAACATCTGGAGGTATAAATTGGTTTAACCTGTAAATATCAGATCAACAGCGGATTTCTACTGCTACAAGTTAGGCTTGGTTCGTTTCAAGCTTGAAATCATGTTTTATATATATATACATATATTTAAATATACATATACACACACATATATACATTCCCGGCTTTAGCACCAATGATTCTCATCAAGCCCAGGATCTTTTTTTCACTCGATGAATGTTTGATTTTTATCTTTAATGTTATTTTATTTGTAAAAACTGTTATGATATAAAACCCTCTGAATTTAAAAGAGTGAGAAAAGATTATTTTGGTTTTGTAATAATAACAAAAATGTTGTCTTTTCGCAGATGAAGGCCTGGCTATCAGCCTGCGATCCAGTGGTGATCTGTTATTTTTGTAGCCTTTCAGTCGACACATCTCCCTGGTATCTGCTTTCCAGACTCTGTTATCAAATCGTTCACAGATATGAGGAGCATTTCACCGAACTAGAACCTGACTCCTACATCTGCAGGAGCCCAGATAAGTGCAGCTACAACACCGGTCATGATCCCACCAGTGATTGCTCTCAAAGTCAACATGTCTGTGATGGTGACCCTTCTGCTCCTCAAGAACTTCATTCCAACTTCATAAAAGTGGGTGTTTCTCTGTTTGAACTTGAAGGACATCTTGCGTCTCTTCTCACCCAGCTTCCCTCCTCGGAGCATCCTCTTATTCTCATCCTCGATGGCTTGGATCAACTGGAAAACAACGTTGGTTCTCAGATCATCGGCAGCCTCCCGTCCCACCTACCTGATGCCGTCAAACTCATCATCACCGTCTCCTCCAAAAGAACAGGTCTCCTGCAGGCCATCAAATCACACTACTCCCAACTTGGTGGTCTTCCATGCTCTGTATCTAGCAGCAGAGAGGAGGAGGCTGGATATGCTTGTATACAGCTCCAATCTGTGGACAGAAAACAGTGCATCAAGCTTTTGGAATCGCTGCTGAGCTGTTCAGGGAGAAGGGTTACTTCTGGACAACAAGCACTGGTGAACCAAGCTCTGAGCTCCTGCCGTCTGCCTCTTTATGCTCGACTGCTGCATGCACTCACGTCACTGTGGCACTCTGGTAGGACTGAAACTAAGAGCATAAGCTGCTACAGCAGCTAAAGTCTCTAGTTTCCTTGTGAACAGACAGCAATGCACATGCTGACTTGATGCATAACCTTGTACAACTAATTCTTTATCTTATAGAAAAACTTGCTTTTCAAATTTCAATGGTGAGAAGCAACAGAAAAATAGATTAAAAAAAAAAAAACTCACCGAGATGTAGACAAATTTGTCCATCTGTATGTGCAGGGTATAAAATATATATTTAAAAAGTTGAATAACTTTTTTTTTACTCAAGTAAAGTAAAAATGTGTTTGGTATAAAGGTTACTTGACTTCTGAGTAACTATTGGATAAAAACATCAGATTCAATGTTTATAAATGATGCCGGGATACAGAATTTATGTGCAAGTTCTGGCATTTTAAAGACTGAAATGTCTAAAAAAAATACACATAAATGTCACAAATATAAAAGAACAATTTATGCATTAGAGATACTTTAACCTTTTTTTTTATATATAAAACTTAGAAAACCACTGGAGGACTGTATATATTTTAGGATAAGGTAAAAACTTCCACTGTTAATACAGTATCCTTTATGTTTACTTGATTTTGGAAACGTTCAAATTACTCACAGAGGACAGAATAAAATAGACAATATACTCAAATAGGAGTAGCGATACTTTAAAAGAATATTACTTAAGGTAAAGTAAGAATGATGGCACAGTAAACTACTACTAAAAGTACATGTTTTTCTAATTGTTACTCAAGTAAATTTAACAAATTACTACCACCTCTGGTCTTAGACTCAACCCATTCTTTCACAAAATAGGCATTATGCATGTCTCAATTGACTGGAACACAGGATTTCAAGGATTTAGGGTGTCCCAAAACCCAAATAGAACATAATAGATACAGCTGGTCATCCCTGTTTAAATGCTGTAAAAGTGATGAAAATAAAAGAAAACAAGCAAAGTAATATTTTGTAAGTAATACTATTCCGATAGTTCCTAATACCTCAGTATTACTTCTTGGTTTCATTGTTAAAACTAAAAAAAGAGGATATTTTAAATGCACAATGTTATCACAAATATATAAACATCATTTTTTACTTGTTGATCATCATTGGATGGTTACATTTTTTTTTTAATTTGCTAATTATTTGGTAAAACTTCCTTTCAGACTTTACACATACATTTCAACATGTTTGATTTTACAAGTAGTCAGTTTACTATCTCCTTTCTTTTCCTTTTTTTAGATTCAGATGTGAACGAGTCGTCTCTCCCGGACAGCGTCCATTCGTCCATTTCCGCTCTCTTGGAGCACTTGGAACAGAAACACGGCTCATCCCTGGTGGCTCGTGCGGTCTCTTACGTCTCGCTCTCCAGGACCGGACTCAGTGAGACCGAGCTTGTGGATCTGCTGTCCCATGATCATCCTGAATGTGAAGGAAAAATTTCACAGGTCGATGTAGAGAGACTGTTAATAGATTTGAAAAACTTCCTCATCCGACGGCCGATGGCCGATTCCCAGGTTCTGTTTTGGGTGAGCCGACATTTCAAGCTGGTGGGGACCAAGAAGTACCTGAGCACCCATGAAGCGAGGAAGAAGATCCATTCAGAGATGGTGGACTATTTCAGTGGGAGACGGGCTGTTGGAAATGAAAAACCTTTTGTTGTAAATTGTGCATCTGAAGCACAAAATGAATCAGAGAGCCAGCCGTTTATTTTCTCTGTTACTGAAGACGTTTGTTGGGTAAACATGAGAAAGATCCTAGAGTTGCCACATCATTTGCAACAAAGTGGCTGCTTGGAAGAAATGGAAGAAGGGTTGTTGATGTCCTTAGGATTTCACCAAGCTATGCTTCGAGCTGGCCTGCTCAGTGATCTAGTAACCATGTTGGAGGCTGATGAAGGCTCTACAAAGTTTTTAAGAGAAAGATGGCTGGTAGCAAGCATATTGAAGTCCTCTGCTTGCTTCCTTCATAGCTCACCCCCGCAGCTGCCTACAGTGATGGAGTCAAGCCTCCTTCCTTACCTTGATGTATTTCCTGCCTTTGAGAGATATATCAGAGAGATCCAACTAGACAGGAGGAAAAAGCGAAAAGGAGTAGGATTGGTTCTTTCATCCAGTTCCGGCTCTGTTCTTCCCATTCGCTGTCTAGGACCAAATCCTAAAAACAAAACAATCAGTGTTGCGGAAACTGTGTGTACAGAATGTGGGGTTGTGGCAGAGATCATAGAGGATGGTTCTGCCTGGATTTGGAAAGGCTTGACTTGTGATGTAGTCAAGTTGTCACTTAGCCTGAAGCAGCAGGAGGTGAAGTTTGCAGGAGTCAAAAGTAGCTCTCAATTTCTACTGCTGTCAACTCAATGCAAAAAGCTCTTTGTGTGGGATGTGGAAGATCCAGAGAGGCTTACAGAGGTGAAGGAATCACTGAAAACAGAGTCTGAGTCGAATCAAACTCAGAGTATGGTTGAAGGATTTGTGTCATGTGAGGAAAAGTTATGCATATGGTGGAAAAAGGAGAGGTATTTCAGCGTGTTTGACATATCCAGCAATACCTTGGCTCATTTTCAGTGTCAGAGCTCTGTGATGTGTTTGGTTGCTTCCTTTAATAGTTTCAGCGTTTACTGTGGACAGGCAGACGGAACAGTGTCAATATTTGACTTGACCACCGGCAATCTTCTTGGCTGCTGTTTAAACTCAGCCCACAGGGCAGTTATACAGGTAATCCTCTGTGAAGAGGAGCAAGAGATGGTATGCGTGGACGAGAACGGGAGCTTAGCCTTATGGGACATTGCTGACAAAGAACAACCACCAATACTTATCAGAGAAAACTTCGATCATTGTAAACCCTCCAGTGTTCTCAACACAGATTTTTCCAAAGCTGCCAACACTCTGTTGGTGTGTCAAAGTCAGCAGGTGACGTTGTGGAACATGTGTAACTGGGAGATGTGTGACCAGTTCTTGGCTCCTCAAGGGAAATCCTTCACTAAAGCAGTACTTTCCCTGGATGGACATCTTTTCCTAGCTTTGCTGGACCATTACCCACTCATCTTAGTGTGGAGGGTCAGCACCGGTGAGTGTGTCCTCTCTTTACAAACCAACACACAGCCCCTCACGCTACTTAGAACAGCCTCAGATATTATTTGTGTGAGTCAGAATGGATGCTTGACTGTCTGGGATGCAGAAATGATCAATTCTGCAGGTACAGCAACCAGAATGAGGAGTGGAGTTAAAGGTGTGGTGGTGGATCAAACAGGAAAGTCCTTCTACACCACAGATGGGTTAGAGAATGTGTGGAAATGGAGTTTAGATGCTTCATTTCCAAAATATTCCTTTGTCCATGAAGGCCCTGTGGAAAAGATGGAGCTTTCTCCAAACGGCAGCTTCCTTCTCTCCCTCTCAGGGGAGGAGATTTACATCTGGCAGACTGAAACGGGTGAGAATATTGCCCGGATCAGTGGCGGTGGGGCTGCAGATGTACTGATCACTCCTAATAGCAAGTTTGGAGTCAGCATATCCAAACATGGCCTATCCCATGTTTGGAAACTTCCATGTGGAGGTATTGTATGCAGCATTCACCAGTATCTGTCAGATGCTCAGGTATCAGCTGAGGGGACGTTTCTGGTTGGCCTCCATCATGGAGACCTGCTGGCTGCAAGCCTGTGGTCTGGTTCCATCAGCAAACGCTTCTCCTGCACGGAGAACTCAGAGTATGTTGTCACTTTCCACACCCTTTTAGATCACCCAGACTTTGTGGTTGTGCTGACTGCCTCTGGAGCGGTGTACACCTGGAAGCTGTCAGAGGAGACAGTATGCCGGCACTTCCAGCTGCCAGATACCTTTCACTGTCAACCACAAGACTTCCAAATGTCACCTAATGGGAGCTATGCACTGCTGTCCACTGATAACAACTCTATCAACGTCTTAGACCTATCTCGAGTCAGGCTGTGCTCCTTTAAAGTTGAAGGTCCTGTCATTAAGGCTTGCTTGGACAAAACGGGGTGCTACATGGTGTATGTTTGCAACCCGGGCAGTCAAGAGAAGAGCTGTGCTTGTGACCTGCACTCAAAGTTTGTCCTCACAGTTGTGCGCCTCTCGGACAGGGAAAGAATAGGAAGAGTATGTCTTCATAAAAATCCATCGACTATGACAGTCAGCAAGCAGCAAGGTGTGTTTGTGGGTTTTATTGATGGGTCTGTGGGCGTGTTCTCCATTTTAGATGCTGATAAAAGTGTGGAGGAGTTAGTCCTGGACCTGGAGAATATAAAAGGCGAAGAGACAAAATGTCCCTTTGACAGAGAACCTTTGAGCTGTTATTTTCTCCCCAAACCCAATATGAGATGGGCTTGAGCTTTTTACATCTTCCCATACAATGCATGCAGAACAGGCAGAGAGAAATTTTCAGAATAATCTGTTTTTGCTTTTATCTGGTTCTGAAATTACCCGCCAGTCCTTGGTTTGAGGCCTTCCATGATGGTGTGTTTCTCAAATGGGAAACTACTTCCAGAAGAGACTCATGACAATGAGAGAAGGAGAGAGCTTGTGATTCGATTCCTTTGTCCCCAAGCACAGTCTTGGGGGCAGGGTCACATGCCTATAGGAGTGTCTCTTGTGACAGTGTCCTTAAATCAGAGAAGGGAATCAAACAGCAGAGCAAAACTGCATCCTCCTTCAGCAAAATTTAAGGTTTAATATAATTAATGGCTCAAGATAATACCTCCACCCCTGTCAGGGCCGTAACTCCAATTGACGACACCAAGGTCATGTCCTGAGTATTTTATTAACCTATTTATTGCTTAAATTCTGATATCTTTGTCTCCCACTAAACTGTGAGATGTTTTAAATTTGAAGAGCCAAAAGTAGCGCGACTATTTATTTATAATATGGCATTGTCAACATGCACTTATGTCACTATGGTAACTTCCACATACAAGCTACCCCCTAGTGAGTCTATCAGTCTCTCGATGAGGAGCACACTGAGTTATTAATGCAGGCGGAGAGCAGTTTAAGTTGTTGATGATGGTGAGAAAAAACTGGATAGATTTCAGCCCGGCGAGCTACTCGGACAGCATGGAAACATCGAACCAAAGTTGATTAAATGCTTTAGGGCAATTTCCCCCATTTGAACCGACTTTCAATATGTGATTAATATGTTAGCAACATCTTCAGCTGAAAACGAAACCTTTATTCAGTTTTGCTTTCTGCCGGATGCTTGAGCTCAACTCAGCAGGATGAAACGGAGCAGATCGGGCGGGACAGGAAGTGGTGTGCAAAATAAAAGTAAATTATCCGTTTTATTTTCAAAACAATAATAATACTTTTCTATGGTATCTTGCCCTTGTTTCAAGACTCACCATTGTACTTTACAATGTAAAAATTTTTATATACAACTGCTCTAATGTTGTAGATTAATCTTATATATAGACTACTTGTTTAAATATACATTCTTATCTAGTTTGGTTGATATTTATACATAACAGCTGTTTTTTACTCTTTTATATTTTGACATTGGGCTCCTCTGGAACCAGGGAAACTAATTTAGTTTAATTTAATAATTAAGGGTTGAAATGAGAAATAAAACTCGTTGAAAATTTGAAATGCATGTTGCTTTCATTTCATCAGTTTAGCTTTTGACAGTGTTGATGTACTTCACTAAATGGAAAACAAGATAGGGAGGGAAAGGCTGAGTCAACACGAGTTCCTCTTTGAACCAAGCAGAAAGAGGAGCAGTGAGGAGAGAGATGGAGGGAGAGCATGTGATAGAAAAGGAAGATACTGCACCTGAGCTGTTTCAAACGTTGGATGTTTAATGGATTATAATTGAAGTGTTCTGTAATATTATCCTAATAATATGTTATATTAGGCACCATCATCAAAATAATAGTGTAAAAGGATCTGGATGTCTATTTTAAATACTCAAGGAAATATGAAGCAGCTCATTTAAATTATACTGTACTATCTTTTGTGACCCATTTCTAATCAGTTGTAGAAGCTTCAAAAGAGAGATGACATAAAAATAGAGTTTATAATGTCAGAAATGTCTGGCAGGGGAGACAGGGGAGGAAAAACGCTCTTCTTAAGTCTGTGAATATGGCCAGATCTCTGGGGCGACTGCCGCTGAACCCGCCTAGAAATTTTGACTCTTCACCTCTGTATTTTTTTGGCCCTGCGTACGGCCCTGACCTCTGTACTTAACAGTTGCCTTTCCCAGAAGTCAACCTTTTTTTTCTTCTACCTGCAGATTAAATACCTTCCTCAGACTGCAGAAGATGACCCTAAGATATGACCCTTTGTAACCCATAATATAGCTTTTTATGTCGCATTTGAAGCAGTTGCCTCCCTGCAAGGGTCTTTTCAACCTGTATCTGTACAGGACTTGTCTGACATCTTCAGAGATAGCTTTATCTTCTTTTAGAGAGGGTTGATGATGTCATTTTGCAACAAAGAACACTTGTCTTTAGGATTAAGATCTCTGCATTGTTTAATCTATTATAAGATTACAGATTTCTGACTTCAACATCTGGACTCTTTAAGATTGTATAGATGCATGGTAATTTTTGGTGTTTGTAAGGTGTCAAATTGAAGACATTTAACAGATTGTTGAAAACGTCCTTAATCATTCATCTGATTTTTATTTTGGCTACAATTAATTATGTTTGATACGTTCATAATGTTGTTATGTTCGATTTATTGTAAAAAAAATCTCAATTAAAAAATCAATATGTATTATATTATTTCGTAGTTTCATCTATAGAGCAGACATACAGATTCCTAGAGCAGAAATACTTTTTTAGGGTTTTGCTTCAGAAGCAATGCTTCTTATGTAGTAAATAGCATTTGACAATAAACAGCTAGCGTGATTAAGTAAATCATACATTTAGAAAAAATAATAAGCATGGCACCCGTGCAAAGACACTGTAATGTTTTTCTTACCTGTGTTGATAAGTTATATTGCAACAAGTACTGGAAGTGAAGGGCATTCTCTTTTGGTTTATTTGTTTCCCTTTTACCGTAAACCAGAGGTTTTCAACAGTACCTAGGTTTCCAACAGTACCCATTTCAACAGTACCTATTTCACGACCCCCTTGCAGTACCTATGCTATAAAGGGTTCCACAATCTTTTTTTTTTTTTTTATTCCCCTCTGCAATTTTTTCCACTAATTGAAATGTCTTTAAATAAACATTAACATGAATTCAACACACTGTAGTAAACAGATAAATGGAGGCAGAAGATTCAGTCATCAATGCACACATTCAGCGACACTCAGGAGCTAGAAATACTTTAATAATCCCAGGGCCAAGTTACTTTCGCTACATTACTCCATCTGTAATACAATGACTACAGGACAAGTATGATATAACACAATTTCATACAATAGATATAATTAGGGGTCCACGCTCCATCTCGCCATCAGTGTTGGGGTCCTTGGCCTGGAAAATGTTGAAGACCCCTGCCCTAAACGATTTGAATAATGGGTATTACCTAAACCATCAGTAGGCCTAGATAAATATCTGCAGAAATAGTCTAGAAACTTTGTCTACTTTTTATCTTAAAATGTTCTTGATATTTTTGTTACAGGAAATTTGCAAGAGAGCAACATATTTCCCAAAAGTAGTCTGATTATTGAAAGAAAAGGAGAGAACATTTTCCAGTGTAACTTCCTTAGTAGCAATGACAGAAACATTTATGAGCGGAGATTTTAACACACACCTTTTTTTTTTTGTTTTTATTATTATTATTATTTTTTTTTTAATGAGAGAAATTTCAAACTATATGATGAAAATTGTTCTGACTTTGATTAGTGTAAAGATCAGTATGCATTCTCATTTGTTTAAAAAAAATAAAAGTCCATATATTATTGCATTTATTTAGTGTGCCATGCACATGCATGGTGATGATGCTGAGAATAATATTAGTAGTAATAATAATTAAATATTAATAACAACAATAATATAGTAAAATAATGATTATGATTATGATGATGATGATGATGATGATGATAAAAACACTCACTCACTCAATTACTCTATTTTGTGAATTTTGGAATTGTTGTAATAAACATGCACATATTCACCTCCTTGATGGGCTTGTGATTTAACTCTCTTTATTCACGTTTCCAAATATATATTTTAAAAAGTCACCATATTAGGATTTATCGGAATATTTCTCTCCAAGAGTGTCTGACCTCGGTACTTATCCTGGTTACGGCCTTGCTCACAAGGGAAGTTTTTTATTTCCGATAGCATTTGAACGCAGCATCAACAATGTAATCTTACGGTGAGGACTTTAGTGAGTCAGTCTGAGCGCAGACATGCAGCTGTACTGTTGGGGGGACAGCTCCAGTGGACAGTTTGGGACGCAGGCAGCCCTGGGCCCGGTCTGTTGGACCGGACCAGGGGAGGTAACCGGCATCTGCTGCGGGGAGCGACACACTTTATTCCTCAGAACCGACGGAAAAGTGTTGTCATGTGGACACAACTCTCATGGACAACTTGGACGAAAGAACCATAATGGAAAGATGCTTGGTAATTCATTATCTATATATATGTATTAAAATATTTTAAATTAAATTTCTATTTTTTATTTACATTATTTTTATTATTTTAAAATATATACATATATTTTAAAAATAATTAAATAAAGTTCCAAATTGATCATACTCATTATGTTGTCGTTGAAGAGATATTTTTGTTGTGTTAAATATTTCTTTTTAATATGTATATATTTTCTTTTAATATATATATAGCCCCAGGTAAGAATCATAAATAGTTTACTGAATTAAGTTTCAGTTTCGTTTCATCTATAATCGTTCATGTAACGAAACCTAAAACTGGAGGTTAATTACAGTAGGAGCGAAGATATTAAAATAACTTAATATTTTTTTTTATATTATCAGCACTTGTCATATTAATTGGAGGTAGCCTACTGTAGTTATATTAAAAATCCTTATTATATCAAAGTCTCATTGAGTTGTATCAGATTGGTTGCTATAGATATATAGCAGTCAGACACTCAAACTTTTTTTAAACTTTCTAATTTTGTTTTATTAAAAGGTAACTAATATTTTTTCAATATAAATTGTATTGTTTCTTTTTACAGATGTTATAGTGTAAAAGTAATGTCATGACAAGACTTCAGCGGGCTTTTTTTTAATATATATTATTTTTAGTTTTAACACTCACTGAGGGATAGTACAGCATAGTATATATAAACAAATTCAAACATATTCCAAATTAAGATTACAATATAACAGAAAGAACAAAACTATAAATAATAATAAAGTAAATAAAAAAAATGCTTCTCATTTGGTATCAGTATCGCTCACACTTGACATCCCATTACCTCCACCCTCTTCCAGAAAGGATAAGAATGGATAACATATCTCCTCAAATTTGTTACATTTACCTTTCAATATATAAGTTATTTTTTCCATGACCATGTTAGTTTCAGCCAGTCATTTACTTGTGGTGATTGGACTTTTTTCCAAAACAGAGCTATAAGACGCTTAGTTTGTAGCAAACACATGTCAAGAAATATATATTCCCTTCTTCTCAAAGGCATTTCAGGAGGGTATAAGTACATAACAGATATTTTTACTGATAGTGGTAGATTAATACTTGTCATTTTATTGATCATGTCCCTCACCCCTTTCCAGAAAAACATATGTTCACACTCCCATATGCGATGGTAAAAATTACCTTTGAGTTTGTTGCATTTTGTGCAGGAATATTTTCATTAAATGTAGAACCATTTATATTGCAATCATTTTAATCTTCCACTTATTGAGTCTGAGCTTCCTTACATGCCTCTGTCCAATCACTCGCACACAGATCTTCTTTTAAGTCTTTTCTCCAGGCTTCTAATTTACTCATTGACGAATTTTTTGATTCTGATGCTATAATTCTGTATAGATTCAGCTGGCTTTTTACTGTCTTCCTGTATCTTTATTTTCCTGTTTCTCTATTTTAGGATGCGTAGAGGGACTGGGTGATGTCGTCGCTATGGCTTGTGGTCAAGACCATTGTCTGGCTCTATGTGTATCTGGACAAGTGTTTTCCTGGGGGTCAGGAGATGATGGACAGCTTGGGCTGGGAACACACCCCCCCTGCAGCAATCAGAGACCAAGGCATGAACTGAAACTCACAATAGTGTGAATCTTGATAGAGATGCACAGATCCACATTTTTTTTAATTTACCTCACAATATTTGAATTTAGATATCCGTAGAATCCCATAGTTAACAAATACAGCGCACTGTCTTTAGGGTCCGTAATAAAAACAAGAAAATATGATGTGGATGAACGTATACATGAAGAACCTGAAAATCAACTTCAGGTTAGAATAAAGTCAGAAAAGGAAATCATGAAAACAAATATTCCATTGTAAGGGTTCAAAATAGACTAATTATTTAACCGAAGCCAGACACTCATTAGGGGTAAACTTTTCTGATCTCAAAGACATATTCTTGCCTCACTTAAATATATAGAGAAATAGACTGATTAGATCTACCACTATGGATCAACCTGGCAGGTAAGATTGATGACACCTAGTACCTGCCTACCAAATTTTTTTTTTTCTTTAATATCCAAACTGATAATCACACTAATATCGGATCAGTGCATCTCTATTCTCTAATTTAAATATATCTTAACCCTTTATTGCCTCATCCATTTGCAGTCGAGTACCTATCCCGATGCCCATACAGATCGTCCAGGTTGCTTGCGGAAACGCCCACTCCCTCGCGCTTACCAAAGGTTATACATAGACCAGCTGTGGACGTTTTTCTCTATTTCTTTGTGAAACAAACACCTCAACTTTCATTTCTTTGCTGATTTTTAGGCGGAGACGTCTTCTCCTGGGGTTCAAACAGTCGTGGTCAGCTGGGCCTGGGGAAGGAGGTGGCAATCCAGCTGAGGCCTGTCCTGGTGTGTGCCCTGACCGGAGTCCCAGTGACCCAGATTGCTGCCGGAGGGGACCACACTCTGTTCCTCACGCTCTCTGGCCTGGTGTACTGCTGTGGGGCTAATAAATTTGGCCAGCTGGGGGTCAACAGGGTGGATGAAAAAGGTATGTTAGGTTAATCTTTTTTTTTTAAGTCCTGCAGATGAAGCTTACTTTCATTCAGTGTTGAACTCCTTTTGTCATCCTCTGATCCTGAACAGGCAGGTTTAACATCTGTGTGGTGCCTGCGCTTAGACCTCTGGGCATCTCCTTCATCAGCTGTGGAGAGTCACACTCTGCTGTGCTGACCAAGGTACCAAAATTCAAAATTACCGTAAACTTTTTCAAAGAAGTCATTCAGAGATGTTAGGTGTTTTATTTAGATTTTTATTTTGTTTT